CGTCTCATCGATAGCCGCGGCCGACGCCGATAGATCTGGTTGCACCACTCCAGCCCGCTCACCAGACCGACACCAACGATCCACCTCAGAGAGCCAGACTCCCCGCCAACCCGCCTCGCCGAAGCAACTGGCGCCTCTCGTCATTCCTACTCACATTGGCAACGTGCCGCGTCTTGCCAGACAAATCTCCCACAACCGCATGCGATCCGGCAGCACCGGTCAAGACTCTTCTCAGTATTCCGCCCGCGCCGATGATTCACCTAGATCACTTGCTCGAACTCCGTATACGCCTTTGACCGCCTCCACAGCCCTCACGACCCCATTGTCCGCCTGCCCAACTTTCATGTCCGCCACAACTCCCGTGTCTGCTCCCATTATGGAGGAACGTAGCTCGACGAAGCCCTGGGAGATGAACTACAGCCAAGACGCATCCACCCCCGTCCAGCTTAGGAGCGAGAACTCTGCGTCACCTGGTACCGACGGCACACAAAGGCCGTTTGTTCACAGCCACAGGAGAGGCCAGTCTGAGTCTGGCAGTATCATGGACCGTGGACGGCCACGGAAGCGAAGTGAATCACGAAACAACAACGGCCTTCTCCCCAAGCGAAGCTGCTCAACAAGAAATAAGAGTGCTGAACGCCGGGCTTTCGAAGAGCTTCCTAGTGGATTCCGAGCCGGCGAGGTACCTAGCCATATCGAGCAAGACGAACTGGCAGCTTTGCAAAAGCAGGCTTTCGGACAGGCTTCCCGATTTGAGGTACTCAGGAAGGAGGATGTTGAGCTCCTTTCAAGGGTAAGGGCCATCCTGTGCCTCATTATCGAACAGCGAAAACTAACAGTATACACAGGAACTTCGTCAGCTCGATGAGCGCACCGAGTATCTGCGCCGCACTTACAACTCTCTGCGAGCTGGTCGGCGCAATCTTCACTCTCGTATCTGCCAGTACCTCCGCTCTCCTCGTACGGCCAGATTTAGCACAGACTCGATGCTCAAGCAAGAGGAAGCTCTCGCTGAGCTCGATACGTCAATCGACGATTGGGTGAACAAGCTGGAACAGGCTGAGAACCGTCGCACACGGGTACGCCAAAAGCTTCTGGAACACGTCGCTGCTGCAGCTACCCTCCCCACTCCCGCCGCGACGGCCGCGAGCGAGTCATTGCAACTCGCCATGGGCATCCGCCCGCCTCCACCAGTGGGTGTTGGAAACATCTCCACTCCTCCTCGAAGCCCCACCAAGAACTCCTTCTCTTCGCACACTGCTAGCAGCTCTCCTTCACCACAACGGGTCGTTGCCCAGGTCCCCAGCACCATCGTCGAGCAACCCGTGATCGAGGAGTGCCCCGTTGCCTCGGTCGACAAGCATGTCTCTTCCTTCAGTCACCGCCGCACCGGCATGGAAAGCATCCGCATCTATGCCGACAGCGACGTGTACGCTCTCCTGGCCGACGTGGAAAATGAGATCACCAAGATGAGCGCCGCCGCAAACCAGACGGAGGCCACTGCGGCCCTCTCGGACGACGAACAGAAGGAGATCCATCGGGCACGCAGCCATGAGGCTCTCAGTGGGCTCGCAAATGAGAAGCCCACCAACGCCAAGGACACCAAGGACACCATCCCGTCTCCTCGCGCGCCTTCCCCTCCAGCCAAGGATAGCCCGGCCGACGACGGAGCCATCTTCCTCACTAGTGCCGTTTTCCGAGGCTAGGAGCCAGCCAGCCTCAGCTCTACCCCATCTTGCTTGTCCAATACGGCAGCAGCAACTATACATTCCATTTCATCTCAAATTTGTTCTGTTTCGAAACCGTTATTCATACGCTTACGCTCCCTACGTCTCAAACGACTTCACGGCTGACCCATTACCTTCCTTTCCCGAGAAGCGCTTTTATTTCTTGCTACATTATCATCACCAACTTGATACCCGTCCGCGACGCTCCTTTTCTTCTGTTTCATTACTAGTTGCTTCATTTATTGGCTGGCGCCACACTACCGCCTTCCCTTCATCACATTGTCGTTTCCCTATATCGAAATCATATATTGCATGGTCATCTATTGGGTGTTGGTGGCGCGATCCTTTTCTTGTGGGAAAATGTCTTGGCCCCGGCGTGGACAGACAGCCATTTCTTTTCATGTTACAATACGGGTTGTGTGCAAACTTGTAAGCTAGATCATCACGGTCAGTGGTCGCAGTGTGCCATCTGTACCGCAAAGTCCCTTCCCACGGGAAGAAGCGACAATCAAACGAAACAAATTTCCAAAACCCACAGTCATCAATTCTGCAATACATCAAATGTGATCCGTGATGAGCCTCATCAACACAACACTCTAACAGGGTTTCCGGGTCCCTGCCTCGAACTGTCTCACTTTTTCTTTTTCCGTTCAAAGGGTGTTCTTCAACAAAGCTGAAGCTCTCCAGTGTATCCACATGAGGATCTCCAGGGACCGCCACCCCCCAAAAAGCGAAGTCCCATGGAAACTCTAGCACACTAAACTTTATGACTTACATAATAAGGCGTACCTTATCTTGACTGAACTCCACCGACGACACTTCAGGCGGGTCGAAAAAAAGATGATTTACGAAATAGAACAGTCACCGCCACACTATTTAACACTATCGTTTTTTATTACTAGAGAATTGCTATAGTATATATAAACACTACTCTACCCTTAAATTCCGCACTATTTAACTTAAACCCTTTGTAATAACTACTTAACCTTTTTTTATTACTATTTTCTTCATTAAAAGCTTATTAAGATTATAGCTTTAATAATAGTATTAATAAATTAATATTACTCTTAAAAATAAATAACTTACGCTTATTTATAAATATTTAAATTTTTATTATTATAAAAATCATACTAAATATTTTAATAATAATAACTAGTTTTTTTTATAAAAAAATCTTATTATTAATAATTTAATAGATATTTTGTAACTTGATATATTTGAAAGCTTTTTGATTTTTATTAAAAAAAGGAGTTAAAAACTTAAAGTTCATTTTCTTGATTAATATAATAAAGCTTTTATATTTAAAAGTATAATACTAATTATAAACCTTATTAAAAATAATTAACAACATGATTTTTATAACGAGCTTAAAAATATATTAATTTAAATATCAAATAAATCTTATACTATTTTATTAAAACTATATTCATATCTTTATAATTTATAAAGAATTTACTTTCTTTAATAATAAGGTACTTAGAAACAGACACCGGAAAGTAGAGTTTGAACAACTTTAGAGACTGTCAATTACGTAGGCTTGACGTCGCTCCAGTGAACGGATGATGGACTATCGGGTAATTTTAACTACTATACGGAGTTTGAGCCGTCGCGCCGTTTGACTACCGTTTTACAGACCGTGTGTATGGAGCCTTGAATACCAAATACTAAAGCGTCTTCCCTGAATCAGTTCAAATTGAGTTTCTCTCATGAGATATAGATAGAAAAAAAAGAGAGTCAAGACACAGTACACATTTAGAGTCTAGCAGGCAGTTGTGATCTGTCATTGACTGGGGCCGCTGGAAAAGACGCTACCGCAATTGCGCGATAGCGTAGGCATCTGAACGAAGCCAGTCCACCGCCGCTGCCGGTGCTGGTGCCGCAAGGGCGCCAAGCTCATTTGACGTGATTTAGTCACATTCTATCTTTATTAGCGATACCAAAAGTCTTGCTATCAAAAGATCAAGCACGTTTAAGCAACGCCAAGCGAGGAACATGGTTTAGCGTTTTTCAGATCAGATCATGTTTCGATGCCAAGGACGTTCGGCGTGACCGATTTTCACCTGGGGTATTATGTGTATAGATGAAATGCAGCGTGACAGCCAAGTCATGTATCCGTATCTGAATATATATAAACACCCTAGAGATGATGATGTTCACAGCTACGGTAGAGTTGCAGGAACGCAACGACGATCGGTGCGGGTTTGTGGGGCGGGTGCGACTTTGTCATGAGTCGTTTACCGACGCCACGATACTTGAATCCAAAGCCATGAGGACGCTAAAGGTTCAGAGGCGACGGGAACGGCATGGTGTGCACGCGCGCGCTCACGCGTGTAACCGTTTCTTTGGCTTAGCACGTTCCATGGCACAGTTGCTAACTTGACATAGGTATCCGTACATAGTTGCGCTGCACTCGTTGTGGGGAGAAACCCTCGGGCGTACACCATTAGAAGAGAGTTAGGTTGCGGGCTGCCCGCTACGCTTTGCCAAGCAGCGGGTATATTAGCTAGGTTTTCGGTTCATGGTAATCTCGTCATTTGATGTTTGCGATGTTGCGCTGGTGGGTAGTGCGCCCCAGTGCACTTCAGGTTAAGTCTTGTCTGTTAGAGCAACCTTGCGGCTACTACAGTACCTGTCGATCCTCAAGCGGGCACCATGAAATCGTACGGATAAGGCGCTAGTTTCCGACCACTGTATGGAGGCGAACCCTTCGTAAGGGGGATCTGGTTTGGTTGGTGCCATGCCCTGAAGTGACGGCGAGATTCAAGACGGGTCCTGGGCAGCCATCTACTTGCTTCACATAATGTGATATGACGGCACAGAACGTCATTGCTGCAATGTGCGAGATACAAAAGTCTCCGTACATAATCCGGGGGTGGCGATTCGAAATGCGCCGCGTGCAAAACGGGAGAGACGCCCGCCCGCAGCCCGCTTCGGAGAGGCGCACGCGCCGTTTTAGAACCGTTACTTTTATCAGTGCCAGTAGCCGAAGAAACGGCTATTGCAGTTGGCCCAGTTCGCCCCCGTTCGGTGGCTTGCACCCGGGATTTTCTTCGCGAGAAAAAAGAAAGGAACGTGGCCAACGGCGTCGCGCCCGGATCCGGCACGGATGAACCGGAGGGATTTGAAGGATGTCAGAGAGAGACCTGGAGGCTGGAGGGGGGGGGGGGGACTTCGAACACACCCATGTCGGTTCGCCAGTGACAGGCTGAAGAAATGTTCTAGTCAGGGGGCAGAGCGTCCGTACCTCGTGACGTGCTAGACCAAGTACACGACGATCACTGTTCGGTTCTAGCTCGTTGCTCGTAGTGAGGGAAGAAACTCACCTAAAGGCTAGGCAGAAACCGCGAAACGCTAGCGTTGGAAACACCAACGTCCTCGTTTCTTCTTTTTCGCGTTTCTCGTTTGTCGCAGTTATCTTGAAGGTGGGAAGGTGGGCGGGCAACGCGAACGGGTCGCGTTTGGCAGACAGGAAGCGGAGCTATGCAGCGTGTGGCTGACTTGGCCTTCCCAGGATCCCGATCCCTTCAAGGCATTGTGTTTTAAGCAGCTGTCAGTCACAGACAGATGGCCGGAGTATCCGCCACCCGCGCGAGGTGGCAGAGTTGATGGGGAGCTGTTACGGTCGAGACGGGGTGCCGATTCCGATTACGCCTTTCCATGGTGAGGTCCTTCGGTTTTAATGTTACGGATAGTGTTGATCAAGTTGGCGGGCATGTGGGGGGAAGGCAGAACTTCGACAAGCTTGTTCTGGAACACTGGGGCCGTTTCTTGATGAACCGGGCCTCGAGTCACCCGGGTCCGAGTTGATGAAGCGCAGCCCGCCTGTCTGTGACTCCGTGACTCTTGTGTCTTTGTGGCTCCGTCACCTCCCGGACGTTCCATCCGGTGCGCCGGCTCGAGTTGAGGGAGGGATCTCGAGCCTCTGAGACGGGGCGACACGAGGGAAGAAGGGGTTCTAGAAGGGTTTTTGGCACAAGGTTAGTGGGGAAGGGGTTTTTTGCAGTCTTTTGCGCGTTCGCGTAGATATATCTTGTTCCAGATGGGTGGAGGATGATGACAAAATTCTCCTCTTTCAGAGCCACCCAAGGCTGACACTCCGTTGGTTGTTTTGTAGATCCATAGTGGTTTGGGCCCTTGGCTCTTTGGGGGCTGGCTGTCGGGCTAGGGATCAAGGCAGAGCCTTGTTGCCCGCGTCTTCGTGTCCCGGGGGATGTCGCCGAATATGCAAGTTCAAGCATCGGATGGGGGCCTGCAAAAAGACTTGTCTCGAAGGTTATCTTCGGAGTTTTGTTTCGAGACCCGGGGAAAGGGGATGTTCTCCATTTCAAGGGCTCGTTAGTTGTCGCAGATATAAAGGGCTTCTCTTCGCAGGGTAAGCTCCATCCGACCTGCCTAACTTGGGAATAACGTCGTATACCCGTAGCTACTACTGGCTCAACGACTTGTGCTGATTTGTGCATAGTGCAGTCAATTGGCCATCTTCAATCAGATCATGTTTCCACAGAGAATCGTTTATGGTCGAATTAGGCCGATATGCCGTGGATGATTCAAGACTGGTCTACCAGGGTGCCACGTCATGTAAGACGCCACTTCAGCTGAATCCGCTGTTCGACAACATAGAACTAGGCACGACAAGGTGCTCAAAAGTAAAGGGCTCGATTGGTTCTCCCAACGTTGGATGGCTCTTCGCTTCTTTTGTGGCGAAAAGAGTTCAGTTCGGCTCGCAGCAGCGGTGATTGGAACGACGACGCGCCTTCTATCTGCAAAGTTGCAACTCACACAAGGGACTAGGTGCGGTTGGCGTAATGGGCGATATGAAATGTAGAGAGCCAGCAAAAGAGTGTCAACGCGGCAGCACATGTTCTCTTGATAGACGCCCGATTTGATGTTGGTTGGATCTTGTAAGTTGATTGGACGAACACTTGTTCGCATTCAACTTTGGTCGAATGACCCTTGGGACCAAAGAAAGGCTACCGTTGAGTGACCTATGCTGGCGTGTAAAAGCGGTTAAGGCGATCTTAAGATCATCAAAACGACCCCGCACATAAGATGTGCGATCCTGTCGGAACCCGCCCGCTATTCTGCGCGTTGAAGAATTCTAGTTCGTAATCAACACGATCCCGCCGTACGTAACCGCGTTCTGTTTGTTGACTTGACAGGGATTGGCCAGGTGATGGTACCGCGGAATGGGATGAACTTCTGCCAGGCAAAGACGGTAAGGATGTAGGTGCACAGATGCTGGAAGCTGAGCATATGAGACTTTAAGGCGGCAAAAAGGGTTGGCCGATGAAGTCGAGGCGAGACTGGCTCCTCCTCAGCAACACATTACTGGCGTCAATGACGAGGTATGCTAAGACGATATCCGCTTCCAGATGTAGTGAGAGGAATTGCCCGAGGCACTTGCGTTCTTGAGTTCATTGATTGTTTCAGCGGTTGGGCGTTGCTATAACTTTAAACACTTGTCAAAGTAGACAAGGCGGGGGAAGTGGATCTGTGGGCTCATGTAGGTGAATACTGCAGCAACCTCAGATCGATCAGTATGAAAGATTAAGAGAGAATGAAAGAATGAGCAAATGATGTGTTGGAGAATGATATTGAATTTTCGTTTGCATTGCAAATTAATGGATACCTAGCAGCCAGAACGTGGAGGAACGCCGCGCCGGGGCCATGGTTCACTGAGCTTAGTCATCTGCCATTGGCGCACCGGGGCGCACCTCCCTCACCAAACTAAACACTGAAAGTGGCACGGCTGGTGGTCGTCACCCTGCTGAGCGGATTGGCACGTGAAGTGACCCTGACCAAAGCTAATTTCCGGCCCAATCAGTTCCCTGCAGAGGACCGTCATGCGGTGCGCGACCGCGTCCTTTCCGAAATTTGTTGACATCGAAGTACTCCGTACCCTTCATTTCGCATCCCGCTCAACGACAGATCCCCTTTCTGTACTACGCGATCACGAACTTACCACGCCGAAACGATTCTGAATTTGTGCGAAAAGACGCTTTAGTTACGACCGGAAAGCTGCTGTCCGTCATCGGACGCAACGGCATCGTTTGCGGGGCCTGTACCTGTAGCTGCGTCATTCCAGGAATACTTGGCCATCGAAATCGAAAGAATCCCACTTGACGATCCCCCGGTTTCGCCCACCGAGACCGCCCGCCCCCTTCGACGCTCGGATGATGATCTAAGGGCAGCTCATGAAGGCGCTGTCAATACCAAGAGCAGATCATATATCGACAATCTAAGCCTTACCGCTGTTTCGTCGGAAAGGGTGGCCGACGGCTGTCGAACGGTATCATCGAACAGGCTTTGGCTGAGGGCCCGCCATTGGTACAGCTGGCAACCTCTGCCTTGAAGTTGGGCGGCAGGTGCCCCAAAAACAGTCGCAAAGATGGCTCCCGCGGGTGGTGGAAACATTAAGGTGGTAGTGAGAGTGAGACCATTCAATAGTAGAGGTACGGATCACAGTTGCGACGTCTCCGCGTTCCTCTCCAGCGGGTGCGCGAACGCGAACATGCGGTCGAACAAAATGCTGACCACTACACAGAGATCGACCGTGGCTCAAAATGTATTATCGAGATGAAAGACAACCAGACCGTCCTCACCCCGCCGTCCGAAGCTCATGCAAAAAACGCAAAAGACGCTGGCCAGAAAGTATTCGCCTTCGACAGATCGTACTGGTCATTTGATCGCAAGGACAACCATTACGCCGGCCAAGACAACTTATTCGACGACCTTGGTCAGCCCCTTCTCGAGAATGCCTTCGGCGGTTACAACAATTGTATCTTCGCGTATGGCCAAACAGGTTCCGGAAAGTCGTATTCCATGATGGGATACGGCAAGGAAGTTGGTATCATCCCAATGATTTGCCAAGATATGTTTAAGAGGATCTCAGCCCTGCAAGAGGATAAGCACTTGCGGTGTACGGTCGAAGTCTCATACCTCGAAATCTATAACGAACGAGTGCGAGATCTGTTGAACCCGGCAACGAAAGGAAACCTCAAGGTTCGAGAGCATCCGTCAACCGGCCCATACGTCGAAGACCTGGCGAAGCTGGTCGTTGGCAGCTTCCAGGAGATCGAACACCTGATGGACGAGGGAAACAAGGCCAGAACTGTCGCCGCAACGAACATGAACGAGACGTCAAGTCGAAGTCACGCAGTTTTCACCTTGATGCTCACCCAGAAAAGATTCGACCCTGACACAAAGATGGAAATGGAGAAGGTCGCCAAAATCAGTCTGGTTGATTTGGCTGGTTCAGAAAGAGCTACATCGACTGGTGCCACAGGTGCTCGACTGAAGGAAGGTGCAGAGATCAACAGATCACTATCTTCCCTGGGTCGAGTTATTTCGGCCTTGGCGGATATTTCCGTGGGTAAAAAGAAGAAGGGCCCCGGTGGACAAGTTCCGTATCGAGACAGTGTTCTCACGTGGCTGCTCAAAGACTCATTAGGTGGAAACAGTATGACGGCCATGATTGCAGCCATCAGTCCAGCAGACATCAACTATGACGAAACCCTCAGTACCTTGCGATACGCCGACTCTGCGAAGAGAATCAAGAACCACGCGGTTGTCAACGAGGATGCCAACGCCCGTATGATCAGAGAACTCAAGGAAGAGCTTGCTCTGCTGAGAGGTCAACTAGGGGGAGGAAGTGTTGGGGCAGGCGCGGTTGGAGGAGCTGCCGGCGGCACCATCACGTCAGAAGAGGTCTATCCGGAAGGCACTCCTCTAGAACAGCAATTCGTGTCGATCACATCTAGCGATGGCGCTGTGAAGAAGGTTTCCAAGGCCGAGATTGCAGAGCAGCTTAATCAGAGTGAAAAGCTGTTGACAGATCTCAATCAGACCTGGGAGCAAAAGCTGCAAAAGACGGAAGAGATCCACAAGGAACGAGAGGCCGCACTCGAAGAACTGGGTATCAGCATCGAAAAGGGCTTCATCGGACTTTCCACTCCGAAGAAGATGCCCCATTTGGTCAACCTTTCAGACGATCCGCTCCTCGCCGAGTGTCTTGTGTACAACCTCAAGCCAGGCTTGACCACGGTTGGAAATATGGACACCAATGCTGACAACCAAGCAAATATTCGTCTGAACGGGACTCGAATCATGCACGACCATTGCGCTTTCGAAAACGGACCCGACGGTACTGTAATGGTCATCCCGAAGGAGGGAGCGTCTGTCATGGTCAACGGCAAACGGATCGAGGAGCCTAAACAGCTGCACTCCGGTTATCGTGTTATTTTGGGTGACTTCCATATTTTCCGCTTTAACCACCCTATGGAAGCCCAAAAGGAAAGAGCAGACAAGAACCTGTTGCGTCAATCTGTGACGGCTAGTCAGTTGCAGAATCTCGAAAAGAGCATGCCGACGCCAGCTGTCAGCCCGCGACCAGGACACGAACGGAACTGGAGCAAAGCTGGTTCAGATTTTGGCGACAGTCGGCCGGATTCTCCGATACCGTTCCGTGCCGGACGTGACAACGACTTCATGTTCGCAAGACGAGAGGCAGCAGAAGCTATACTGGGCCCGAACCAAAATTTGGCTAGTCTCACTGACGAGGAGCTCAATGCACTATTCGAAGGAATTCAACGAGCGCGTGCCGAGCGCGTCAATGTCCGCGATGGGGATGATGACACGGAATCTGTCACCTCATATCCGATTCGGGAAAAGTACATGTCGACCGGCACGATTGACAACTTCTCTCTCGATACCGCCCTCACTATGCCTTCGACCCCAAAGCAGGGTGAAGTAGACGACAAGTTGAGGGAAGTGCGAGAGGAGATGCAATCTCAGCTCGACCGACAGAAAGAGGAGTACCAAGACCAGCTTAAGACAGCTGAAGCGGCCAACGTCGAAGTGGAGGAGATCAAGAAGGAAAAGGTCAGGATGGAAGAGACCTTACAGTCACTCAAGGAGGATATGCAACAACAATTGGAGGTGCAACGTCGCCAATTCGAAGAGAAGCTCGAAAAAATGGATCCCTTGAAGAGGCCAAAGGCAAATCCCAAGCTCTCCGACGAAGAAATCGAGACTGCGAAGCAAGTTGTGAAGCTGTGGCGGACTAGGCGTTACGTGCGCATGGCGGAAGCAGTGCTGCAACACGCCTCAACTTTGAAGGAAGCGCAGATCATGAGCAACGAGCTTGACGAGGGTGTAGTCTTCCAATTCACTGTCGTGGACCTCGGCCATTCCCTTTGCTCTACCTACGACATGGTTTTGAACGGGTTGACTGGCGAAGGAGACGATATCCCCCTCGAAGAAACACAAAAGCCATGCATTGGCGTGCGCGTTGTCGACTACAAGAACTGCGTTGTGCATCTTTGGAGTCTGGAGAAGCTGCATGACCGGGTAAGACAAATGCGGCAAATGCACCAGTATCTTGACCAGCCAGAGTATGCTCAGCACCTGAGTCTTGATAACCCATTCATCGAGACTTGCATGCCGCAGTATACGCTTGTAGGAGAGGTCGACGTGCCGCTGAAGGCTGTCTTTGAAAGCAGGGTTCAAGACTTCGCCCTGGATATTCTCTCCCCCCATACGTCCCATGCCATTGGCATGATCAAGCTTTCGCTGGAGCCTTCGCACGCTAGAGCACCATCCAACACGCTGAAATTCAACGTTGTGATGCACGAAATGGTCGGCTTCGCCGAAAGAGAGGGCACGGAGGTTCATGCTCAATTGTTCATCCCTGGGGTCTCGGAGGAAGATGGCATCACCACCACGCAGTGGGTCAAAGATTTCGACGAAGGGCCCATCCGCTTTGAGAGCGTACATAGTATGAGCGTTCCTCTTTTCAGCCCGCAAACCGTCACCCTCAGAGCAGCTATTTTCGCCAAAGTTTCAGCAATGCACCTGGACAAATTACTGAGCTGGGACGACATGCGCGATGCTGTACCATTGTCCAGAGGAAAAGGCAAGGGAGCGCGCATTGCCGAGTCACAATTTTTCACCGAAGAGAAGCACGACGTATTGGCAAGGATACAGATTCTTGAACTGAACGAGGAAGGAGAGTATGCACCCGTAGAAGTGGCACAAACGAGTGAGATGGACGGCGGTACTTTCCAACTTCACCAAGGGCTCCAACGCCGCATTGCCATCAACATCACGCACAGTTCTGGCGATGCTCTGCCCTGGGACGACGCGATGAATCTGAGGGTGGGTAAGGTTCAGCTTCTCGATCAGTCAGGAAAGTCGCCAGACATGACCTCAACATCACCTACCATCACCCTTAAGCTCGCCAACAAGCCCGCCTTCCGTGATAACGCCAACGGTACTCGAAGCATCACGCTGACCGGCCAGTGGGATTCGAGCTTGCACAACTCCCTACTCCTAGACAGAGTGACCGCGGATAAGTACCGTGTTCAGATGACGGTTGCTTGGGAGATCAGTTCCAGCAAGTTCGCGGAACCGATGAAGTTTGCGATGCATGTCTGCTGCCAAATCATGTCAAGATCATGGGTTCGACAGACGTCAATGTTCTCCTCGCTGTGGCAAAGCGTCCGTTTCGTTCATGCAACGAGTGCCATATTCACACTGTCGATGCGGCCGGCTCCTATCAAGAGAATAGGCGACTTGTGGCGGATGAGTAGCCAGCACGACTACGTGAAAGGAGAAGAGCAACTCACTACCTGGACCCCTCGCGGAGTCTCCCTGGTTAGCGACTTCATTCTTTCTCGCAAGAAGAGAAAGCGAATTGCGGAAATTGGAGCAGTGCAGACCCTCCTCAAGAAGATTGGTCTGCCAGAGCCGAAGCTGAAGGCGGCAGAGGAGGAGACACCAGAAGAAGACCTGCCGCTCCAATCCACGTATCAAAACGATGATGACGATTTGTTGAACGACACACCAGAGAGTTCGCAGGTGCCAGAGGACGACGAACTTCTCAACGGAGACGGGCAAGAAACGCCACAGCCAGAGGGGGAAACTGAGGCAGTGCAAGCACCTCAAGAACCAGAGATTCCCGAGCGAGAGAAGCACATCCTTGAGAAATGCATCAAGCTCTGGAACAAGTACCCTGATCCGCTGCTGCAGATTCTCAGCCCAACGAATACTGATCCGCCGACGGACGGCTCTGCGCCGGAGGCTTCCGCTCCGCCGAGCCTGATCCCTACGATTATTCGAGTCCCGAAGAACCCCAAGGTGCTCAAGGGCGGCTATCTGCTGATTCCTAACAGCAGCTCTACGAGATGGGTCAAAAGATTTGTGGAACTGCGACGGCCATACCTGCACATCCATTCTGTCACTGATGGAGATGAAGTGGCCATCGTCAGCCTACGAAACTCACGCGTCGACAGCCAACCTGGCGTTATCGGGCTCTTGTCGGGTGACGACGATGACACGGGTTCGCAAACCAACGGCAGTGTAGAAGAATTCCGTCCGAGCCATAGACGAACTGCGTCTGGACGTGTCATCTCAACCATTTGGACAGGCACCGGTACAGGTGGCGCAGCCAACGGACCTGGTGGAGGCTTGCAGAGGCTAAGTGAGCGACTGCAAGCTGGAGTTTTCGCGATTTACGGCACGGACAACACTTGGCTGTTCGCTGCACGTAGCGAGCGGGACAAGATGGACTGGATCTTCCGCATCGACCAGAGCTACTTCTCGAGCAGCGACAGCGCCAACGGTAGCGGATCGGGCACCCCCGATAGGTATGATGATTCTCTCATCGGCGGGTACTGATTCTGGGGACCAGTCATGAAGATCATCAACGAATCTCTTTTTTCCTATCTTACCAGTCTAGAAAGACGAAACCTCAATTTGAAACGACGGCATTGCATGAGCATTAGGCTCATGCTCATTTCAACCACATTTTCTCTTTGTTCCGTTTGTATAACGCACGACACGAATTGCAGTATACCCTCTATGGCTTGGAAAATAGGAGTGCGGAAGGGAGACAGAGCAGGAGGAGGAGGAGCGGAGGCGGAAGATGGGAGACGGCTGATAATTGTCTTTTGGTTTGGGAGAGGTTGGCTATAGACCAGGCGGACGGATGCACAGGAAAGAAACCTGCGGTCCAACGAATGACACAAAAATCTAGACAGAGACAGAGAGCTGCCCTTGGGAAAAGAGGGGGGTGGCAAATGAGGCCAGCCCGAGACAATGAGCGCTCGTTCTTGGCTGCCACAAAGACTTGGATCTCCGGCTTGCGGCTAGGTTAGAGGGCTTGCACGATGATATTCTACAGTCATGCTGCTTGGCTACTGCACATAGTTTTACGAAGATATATCTAATGATTAAATGGTTCGAAGCAAGATCAATGAGTTAATGGAAATGATTTCTGGGGTGTGGGAAATAAACGTCTATTCTGGCGTACACATGGCTTCAAAGCCGTTTAAATGTCGACGTCTACCGTCTTCGCCAATGCGTTGCGGCATAGTCTACTGAGACTCTCCTCCGCACCACTCATACGTGCTCTTGTTGTCCCGTAGGTTGTCAGTAAACAAGACATTGCCATGAGGTCAGCCGCTCTCCAGAACCAAAGAGATGCCCACGGCGCCCAGGCTACTCGCACCCAACCGACCCTGACGGCTTCCACTCTTCCCGAGCCAGCTGGCCCCGGATAGATCCCATGACACGTCAACGATCTGAGGTACTCGGGGAGAGCCGTTGCTTCCTCGATATCCCCTCAATGCGCTAGAACAAAAGACCGATAAGAAAGCAAAATGCTCAAATGCAAGAACTGGTACAAAACCCGACTAAATGTTCACAAAGATAAACGTCAATTTAGAAAATCACAACTTTGCGCTCTCGGCGACTTCGCCAATCTTGAGCTTGCCGCCGTACTTCTCGAGCACCTTTTCGTTGTGGTACTTCCAAAACACCTTTGTCGCGTTCTTGCCGGCGAAGCGCTTGAGGATCTTTTCGCCGCCAGGATGCTCTGATTGGAAGGCTGGAATAGGTGTGTTAGCGTACGGGGTAGATGATGGATAATGGTGAGGAAGCGTGTGTGGTGATGAGAGTGAGTGAGTGAGGGAGAGACACAGTGAGGGGCAGGCTTGGCGTGAATTGGGGGCCAAGTGGGATGCTAATGAGGATGCGTGAGTGATCGCCGTACCTGTGATGTCGTAGACGCCGTTCTCGACAATGAGCCACATGTCCTTCTCGGTCTTGTGCTGGGCGACCTCTTGGGTGGTGAATGTCTTGGACATTTTGGCGGTGTTTAGAAGGGTTGCGTGAGGGGTTCGGTAGATTGCGTTATTGTAAGCCGAGTGTTGACAGGCTACTGAAAATATTACAGGTGTAGGTTGTGGGATGCCTGGTGAGATTTGGCGTGAGGTTGATGAGAGTGGAAGTGAGTTGACGAGAGGAAGACGACGGAAATGGGGGAAGCACGGGGTTGGTGTTGGCGTTTGTTCGGTGTCGTCGCAGCGGCAATGCACCACACACTGAACTGCACTCACCGGTCCGAGTGCATGCGGTGCTGGCGCGCGTGTTTGTGTGGTCGTCTCGCTTTGTCGAGTCAAACTTACCTCGGCTGATCTAGGCGCGAACAACGGGGCGACGTCATTCGATTCGTCCGCTGCTGATTGGGGGTTGGTGGACGACTCCGCCGGCACTAAGGCTCCCAAGGGGAGCACGGGAGTAAACCTGGAGTAGCAAAATGCGGGAGCAAATCACGAGACTCGCATTTCTCATCGGCACTGCTACCAAACATCCGAGGCTCCGCTGGACCTTGTGTCCATAGCGCCCTTGGATAGAAATGCTCTTGATGCTGGGCTTTTGGGTGTGTGCTACCTCCGATCCTCTAGGCCTTTTTCCTGATTATTCCCCGGCTGCCAAGGATGTCCGGGGTAATGCTGGAGTTGATCAGGCACGTGGGATTATGGGAACAATGCCGAGGGCAAATGAACAGCCTTGCTGGTCACACCAGGTAGAGACCATGGTACGAGGAACCTTTCTCTCTTACTACATGCGCACATCTGTGAGGATTATGAGCCGCGATGTTAGTACAGTATATAGGGGAGTTCTCGGACAAGAGAAACGAAAAGCAGAAGCAAATTCACAGGAGCATCATGCCATGACCAATCCCGTCTAAACCCCAGCGCCAAAAACACCTAGCTAGCTATGCAAATGTGCTCGCATGCCCATGAGGGGAGAGCTACTCTAAAATTGTACAATCATGCTTCCCTTATTCAGCGCCCGTCTAAACATGTTGGCGAACCCAGCGGTTCCCTGGCAGTCGCTCGCCTCGTACTTTTCAATGGCCTTGGGCATCCACTTCCGGTAATCCTCGATTCGATGTTCGTTCTATAGATGAACTGTTAGTAGTGGCCAAAGTAGAGGGGGGAAAGTTTGGCGCCCCCCCCCCCCAAAAAAAAAGAGTAGATCAAGACAAAGGGGGATAAAACATACCGAAGGATGCGTGCTCATAAACTCTGGAACCTCCTCTGCTTGCCCCTGCTTAGCCGCCATATCCATACGCTGCCAAAACGCAATAGCCTCGCGCGGGTCGTAACACGCCTCCGCCATGAGCATCAGCCCGATATAGTCCGCCTCGCTCTCTTGCTTTCTCCCCATCGGCCGCGCAAACATGAGATCCATGAACCCGGTGCCCAGGTACTGCACGAGCGCCATGACCGGCGGGAACATACCCGAAAGTATCACCATGCTGCCGAGAAAGATATTGGGGCCGATGGACTGCGTCCAGCGCTCGCCGACGTGCTGCGCGAGGTTGTGCGCAATCTCGTGGCCCAGCACCGCCGCCAACCCGTCCTCGTTGCGCGTCAGGCGCAGGATGCCGCTGTGCACAAACACTTTACCGCCGGGGAGCACGAACGCGTTGAGGGTCGTCGGGTCGTCAATCACGCGGACCTCCCAGTCCTGGTCCTCGAGCCCGGAGACGGGGATGAGCCGGCGCATGACGCGCTGCACCATCAGCACGCGCGGGTCCCACGAGGGGAGGAATCGGCCGCCCTGGGACTCGACGTCGTAGATGACGCGCTTGACCTGCTGGGCCGACAGCGTCTCGACCGAGGCCTCGGAGTAACAGTTGAAGCGCCTGCGGCCCGAGACGGGGACGGTCTGGGTGTTGAAGTATACGAAAGCGATGCCCGCAAGGACGGCCACGACGGCGGTACCGGCGAAGCCACGGGACTTGAAGAAGCGCCCGATGTCATCGACCGTCATCAGAGGCTTAGCGGTGCGGATGTTGTATTCTCGGAGGACTTCGCGGTGGGCGGGGTTGCGGGGGTCGTAGCCGCCGGGCCCCCTCCCCGCGGCCGGCCGCCGAACCGTCTGGGAGAAGAGTCGGGGGTATTGTTGTTGTAGCCGGGAATTGTTTCGTATTATCGGGAAGGGAGGGATTCGGGCTTGCTGTCGTGTGGCGGGGATAGAAAGGCCGGCGAGTTGACGGGGCGCGGCGCGGAGGGCGGGCGGCCGCAGAAGAGCGCGAAGGGTGAACATGGCTGCGGGCGCAAGGGCTCGCGCCGGGGAAGCGGGCTAGGCCGGAGGATATGCGCTTCTTTCAATGCCTCGGCGCAAGAGCCTTTACGCAATTTGGGGGCGGGTGCAGCTGTTGCGAGAGGAAATCGAGTGTGGGATCGTGGGATGTAAAGAGCTTCGTTGATGCTGTCATCATTTCGGAGTTCTTCCATGGAAAGAGCTGACGACGGCGATAACGATAAGAAGTGTGGCGTTAAAGAATTAACCTACACCAGCCACAGCAGGGTCAATTCTTCAAGGTACATCGTCCATAAGGATTACAATCCCGTCAACTTGTGACTTTTGGGTTTGTAAGCATGCAACCATCTTGCACCAAGGGAGGTTGAAGCATCATATGTAGCTTGATTTCATGTCTCCTTACACCATTAATGCCATGGAATCTCTCTGGATGCCATCCTCAATTGACGCCAGTCTCAAGCCAGCACCCAGATTCCCTAGCAGAGATGACGACTTGAGGATAATGGCTGATTTGGTCCTTGGTTCTGGATCAGGACTTACACGTAGCTTGCTGCTTGTTATCCACGGGTAGTTATCGTGAGGATCACTCTAATTGCTGACCTACTAGAATGGGTCTTTCATCCGCTCCTTGTGATCAATCATCCCCGGTACCCTGCTAGGGTCAGTACCTCAGACCGTCAGCTTATGGGGTGGACAATTCCCTCACGCTCAGGGAGATTTTGGTAATGCGGCGGAATATTCTGAAGATGTTTGATTTCTTGACTTCAGTAACAACCTAGCTCTAGGTTTATTCAAAGCCCAAGACCAGATTGTCTTCTGCCTCGTGTTCTCTCATAGATCTCATATCTCAAAATCTCAGAACACTTACCAACCCCGTAACTTTCAACAATGGGCTCCATCCCTCTCCCAGATCTCTCCCACCTGTCCCCCTCCACCCTACCCACCCCTCACGATACCCCCTCCAGCGCAAAGATTGTCTCCGCCCTCTCCCTCCACCGTCACTACGAAGGCGGCTTCTACGCAGAGACAGACCGCGCCCCGACCTCGATTCCCTCCCCGTTCCCAGCAACACCCGCCTCAGCCTCAGACGAGGCAGCACCCTCGACCAACGACCCAGACTGCCCTCCGCCGACGACGGCCGAGCAGCAGCAGAGACGCGCCCTCTCGTCCGCGATATTTTACTACCTCACCGCGTCCTCGCCCATAGGCCACTTCCACCGCAACCGCTCGCGCATAACGCACTCTCTACACCGCGGCCGCGGCCGCTACGTCGTGCTCCACCCGGACGGCGTCGTCGAGAATTTTATCGTGGGCGGCAACATAGCAGCTGGCGAGAGGTTGCAGTGGACTGTCGAGGGGGGCGCTTACAAGGCTAGCTTCGTGTTGCCGGACGAAGACGAGGGCGCATCGTCGCCGTCGTCGAGTGAGGGTTTGCTGATTACCGAGGTCGCCGTGCCGGGGTGGGAGCCGTGTGATCAAAACTTTTTGACGCGGGAGAAGCTGGTTGAGTTGGTGGGTGAGGGAAAGGCGAAGGGGCTGGAATGGTTGATCAAGAAGGAGTAAACAAAGACTTTGAAAGGTAGGAAAAGGAATGAATAGGATCTCGAAAGCTCGGAAAGGCCTGGGAGAACAAGTATGGTATCTTTTTGTGCTATGCATTATGTTTCTAAAGTCATGATCGTACAGGCCTCTGTGCGCCGCTTAACCCGTTGATTCGCAACGCCTTTACATTTTCTCGCATGTCTGTATGCACATGGGTTTCGTAGCGAGTTATGTTGAGCTCTTGTTGCACGCGTTTCGGTGTGTCGAAGCACGGCCTAGTCTAAATCGTCTTCTGACAAATTTGTCGTGGAAATCAGAAGGAGGAAAACAAGGAAGAAAAGATAAGACTCCGGCTTCGCCATATGTGCATAACTCCCCGTCTATGAAAGAGTTCGTTAGATCATGTAATTCGTTTCAGTCGGTCATCTCCTTGTTCTCCGGCGGACTTTGCGCAGGAATTGCTTCATCCGGGTATGGTTTGCGACCCCATACAACCCAGACGTGCTGGTAAGCGTGTATTTGCATGTTGGAGATGTCTCTGCGGACATCGACCAGAGATACCTATATCAGACGTGGCGTGTTAGACAGGAGCATTCATCACTGGACCATACTTCTTCCGTAAGACTCACTTGCACCTCTTCCTGTTGCCTTTCCAACACCTGCGTAAAGAGGGCCATGCTAAATCCGCTGAGACCGTCCAAGAAATTCTGTTCCCATAGCCTCCCGACATGCTTGTGCCTGGGGTGCTTGGCCCAACCGTTGATCGGGATTTTGAAGACGCGCTGGTGGACGTCCACAAAGCCCACCTCCTCATACCACTCTCGCAGCATGTGTGCTCTAGACAAGGGGCGCGCGATCATCTCACTGGCGAGGTTCATGTCATCTACCCAGCGAGATAGAGGTGAGTCGGGGGCGAGCGTGTGGTCGTCGCTCGTGGCCTCGAGGTTGAAATCCTGTGACTCTAGCCAGCCGCCCGGGCGAAGGGAGTCGAAGGCCTGGCGTATGACTTCGTTTTTGAAATCGCCGAATGACCCGAGTAGAACGCGAGTGTGAACATAGTCGAAGGGTTCCTCCCATTGCCACGATTGTGCGCTGCCGGTAGGAAAGTCAGGACGGTGTGTACAGGTAAAACCCATTGTCAAATGAAAAGTCACAAAACTTACGCGTCTTCGATGTAAAAGTGAACGTTTGGTGGGACGGCGTTACTTTGGATTGGTGACAGGTCGATACCGACTATCTTGGCTTCCGGGTACACATCTCCCATATCCATGGCCCAGGCTCCCGTACCTGTGCCGACATCGAGAATCCGTTTGGGACTTCCCTCAACAGCGATCGGGGCGAAGTGCAACCTGCCGCTGAACAATTCTGTGAGTGCAAGCGATTGAAGGTCTAAACGCTCTTGCTCTGCAGGGTCGTTAGGGAAGACATAGGCTGTATGAAGTGTGTGAGCTTTTCGAATAAGAGCTGAGGACAGAGTAAAGCTACTGCACACTTACAGCCTGCTCGATATGCATGATACGTCCTGCCGAAATGTCTGGGGAAACACTCGACGTCGTCGGGTAGTGATTCAGTCTCCCTGCACGAACGTTGTTAGTCAGTGTAGATGAGGCTAAAGTAGTTCCGCGTGGCAGGCATTACCCCTCATGAGGATCGGGCTGGTGGAGTTTGTTAGTGACATCGGACGAACGATAGGTAATTAGACCTGGTTTGTGAAAAGATAAAATAAGGGGTCCAAGTCAAAACGTACGTCAACTTCAATATGGCTGTCGTGCAGGGATGACTTGTCGGGAATTGCCTCAAATGTGAACTCGAAACCATGAAGACGACCATCGGCGACACCTGGTGGGAGAAAGGACATGACTGTGGTCTGCGACATAAACGAGGCCCGGTGACACAAGAGGAGGTGCGAAGCTCGAAGCTCGAAGGACGGGCTACGCTGGATACTTTAGCAGCAGCGCTATGTACCCGCCTACCGGAGCTTTTCTATTACGAGCTAACGTTGACGGGTTCGGAACGATGGTTGTTCGATTGCGGTTGAGCGCCACCTCATGGAAGACTCGATGGAACGAGTGGATGCGATTGTGTCAGCTTCTCGCGATCGATCGTCGTCGAGATGATTGGAACAAAGGAAGAAAGACGCTTCTGGCGTTGTTCTTATAACGCTGCGGTGGAATATGTGCACGTGTTTCCGGGAAGTTGAAGCGTTTCTGGTGGTGGAGGTGCTGCTGCTGATGCAGTCGCCACCCTTCTGGCAGCTTTTAAGACAATTGCGAACCTGTTGTATAGGAGCGGGGGATGCAGTTGGGCGTCAAAGACGGACGGCGAAGAATCGAACGACCGAGTAGAGAACGAGGAGAATCGGAGCCGAGAAGGTTCGCAAGAGCAGTGGCAAACGAGGGCGAGCACCGGACCAGATCCCGATGGAAAACAAAGTTTGGATTATTGAGCTCGAGGTTGAGGTTGTTGAGGTAGGTGGAGGGCGGGAGGGGGGAAGTGTATGAGCTTTGTGTGTGAGTGAGTGTGAGTGTGAGTGATTGAGTGAGTAAGTGGATGAAAATGTCAGAATCTCAGAGTGAGCGAGCGATGGACCCAGACAGCTGGGTCGGCCTTGGTCGGCCTGAATCCGCGAGGGCGGGAAAGGCGGGAACGAAAACACGGGGAGACCAAGACACCCAGACTTGCCAGACCCAACGGGTTGGAACTTGGGACCTTGGGTTGGTGTGGTTGTCTGGAGTTTTGGTCGTGGTTGTTTGTTCGACTACCCGCAGGCGTGAAGCCTCCATTGACAATTGCTGCGTCGTCTGACTGACACGATAGGTACCCACGAACCCGGGGACCCTGGACCCTGGGACCTGGGATTTCTGGTTCGGCGGTCCCCCCCTTCCCTCCCCTCTCCTACCATCCTGCTACTCGATTTAGTCTCGACATACCTTACCTTAGTTGTTTGTTGGAGCACATGGGCGACTTAGCTTCCGAGGTCACTCACTGGCCAAAAGCTTGCGTGGGATTGACAGAAAAGAACCCCCTTTTAGAAGTGTTTAACTTTGGAACCTGGCGCTTTCTTCCCCGATTTGCTACCGGATGTCGGGACGTTCTCAAGGAGGGGGAGCAGCAGGGGTGGAGAATGGAAGACGGCGAGTGGCCTTTTTATCGGCCGATAAAGGGGAAACCTAGAGGAGGGGGAAGGGGGGTCACCGAATCGCCGGGACTGGGTACTATTTACTATCAAGAACCATTTTTTTTTATTATCTCTCGAACCTTTGTAGACGTTTCTTTTCTTGTCTGTTGTATTTTCTGGCGCAATTCTTTTCCAAGCCCTTTTATCTAGTGGGTGTGGGCTTCCTGCATGAGGAGGGGTAAAAGCAAATGGATATGCACAACGTTTTCAGAAGGTCAGAACCAACGAAGTTTTTTCCTGCTTCAGCCATATGCAAACGGCTGCAGAAAAGGAAAACAAGGTGCCACAGCTGCGGGAGAAAACGAAAAGAAATAAGAAGCGGATCGTGGTTCAAGAAGGAAAATAAGCCCGAAGTTCCCCAATCGACTACCTAACCGAGCCATTGTTACCTCGCTCATCGCCAACCGGAGGTCTTTAGAAACAAAAAGAGACAAAGAGATGCCAATGTGACATATGACACGAGGGTGAGAGGGGTGGGCACTGGGATGAAAAGCTCCCATGTGGCTCGGAACCGACAGCCTAGACATACATGTCCAACAACACCACCTCCAGACTATCCCCTCCAAGGATCACAACTTTTATGCAGCTATGCGGACCACCACACGCGGTGGGAAGCTGCACAAGTTCGTTGGTTGACAGCGAGCCAAAAATGAATTGATGGAATGGCAGAACGTGATTTGCCTATGACAGGTGGGGAAAGCTGGAGTCGCATCCTCTCACGCACTTTACAAACGCACGCTTCATACTTAAACGAGTGAGAATATCTTCTCGCTCAGCTAGTGAAGCAGATGCTTTCGCTGCGACCTCTCACCTTATCCCGAAGCCAGTTCCAATGGTTGACTATCCGCAGCCTCACAAACCAACGTTGGAACCGCCCGAAAGACGGTGTGACGGACGGGTCCACGGAGAGGAAAGGCCCAGTCTAGGCAGATGCAGCAGGGCGTGATGTGCATGTGCAGTACACCAACAACAACTTAACAAGCCAACCTGCATGGTGGTTTCTGTCCCGCCCCTCGGAATTTGAATGGGTGGACAGCTTTGGCACTGATTTTACTGTGCCGCACAGAAAACGCCCAGAGCTTAGAGGTGAGAAGCTGTCCCCGGTTCTCGGGCCCTGTTCCCAGCTTCTTCGCTCTCCCTCGTTGAGTCGTCCCTCGTTGGAGGTTAGAGGCGAAAGGAAGAGACAGAGATGTGTGAGATAAGTGTGAGTGTGTGAATCAACCACGCAACCATAGTCCAAGGCAGATTGTCTGCCCTTCCATATGACACACATATCTCTTTAGCTGTTTTTCTTAATTTCGTTTGAGTCCAAGACATGGGAATTCCTCCTCCCGGGAAAGACATAAGCTTGCCCGTCCCAGAGAGCTGGTTCGTCGTGTTGTGTCGTGTCGTGGCGTGTCGTGAGCGAGCATGTGCGTCCGTGTCTGTGTCTGTGTGCCCTGCCTGCACTGCATGGCTGGAAGCTGATATGTCATAAACTTGTTCCTCTTGCCCAGGTTACAGTTACACAACACAAATGGGCCTTTTCCTGTATTACCCTGTCGGCACTCAGCAGCTTTCGCTTCATCACGCACGCACGCACGCAACGCTGTAAATTTTCTCGACCGTGTTTGTCGAGATGCATCGAGGTAGATGTCCATTCGCTTCCCGCCTAGACCCAGCTTTTCGCGAGGCGAGGTGGTTTGAAGTTGTAGTGAGGGGGATGGACGATCATGGGAGACACCGAGGTCCGGACACAATTGCCCGGCAAACACCACTGGTATTTTTGCTACCTTGCTTCACATCAGTTCCATGTGATGATCGCCAGTGCTATGGCTTTTTCCTATTGAAAATTCAATCGGGCGTTAAAAAAAGATCCAGATCAGGTTTCAGTACGGAAACTTTGGTGATCGGTCATTGGCATTCCAGTGATGGAATCATGCTTTCAATATGCGGTCACGTTCGTCTACCTATGTACCGCTGCTTCTACTACTGCTGCCCGCCTAAACTCTCAAGACTGCCCGAGACTCGCTAATTTCCGCTGCCGATCAGACGTACGGATAGCTTGAATAAGAAACCATGTCCAACCCTGTCGAAACCCATGAATATGCCCGAGTCACCAACCTGTTGGTTCCAACAGTAGTAAACCACCCGCACGCATATAACGAGAGCTGCGGGAAACTCCGTTGCTCCCGAGGGCGTTCGCCTGCTCGAGTCCCAGGATATCGGGACCACGGGCAGAATGGAAAGTTGTGCAAGACCCCCACCATCCCCTGACCCTGCGTGTAACGGGGGTGACTGTGATGAAATTCCCAGGTTCGCTTTGATGATTTCTTTTGCCAAGTCAACCCTCCGGCAGGCAAGAACTTGATCAGCGTACGGAGGTATTATATACCTTCCGGTCTAGGTATCTCGCCCTTCCCCGAAGTTCCCACATCCAAGCAGGCAGTAGGTGGGAGCCGGAGCGCGTCTGCGCCGAGGCGCCATGCGTCTATTGCGTGCCGAGAACCGCGCAAGTTTGGGAGTTCGGTCAATGGTTGGTTATGGTACAAAGGTCCTCTGCTTTTTTCGTCCTCGCCAAATTCCGGTCATGTCCATAGTTGTCTTGACCAGCGGAGGCTCGTTATGATGCTTGACTCGTGGTGAGAAATGACCTGTATAATTTTCCGTGTGGCCAGTGTCAACGGCCCCCGGACCGGAGGTAGAGGTTATTGTGATAATCCAGAATCAGATCCAGTGGTGATTGCTTCTTGTAGTCCAAGATCTCGTGTATGCCCATTGCGGATACCGAGTTTTCCCTTCTTCTTATCCAGATACTTTTCCCCTCATCGCCAGGCCAGTCTACGTGATCAGTTGCGCGGACGAGAGCTCCAGGAAGGCGCAGAAGAAAGATGACAGTGTTTCGCCCTTCCCCGTGCTCTTCGACGTCGACGGCGTTGACATATCCGCCGTTTCTCACTGTCCCTTCTTCTTCGAAGACACCCGATAGGATCAGCATGACCGCATGAGGCATGTGAAAGGAAAAAGACTGACGTGAGTGAACAAATCATCGACGAGGTCCCTGCCAATAGGCACATCGTCCAGCTGTAGACTCGATAGATTTCAAGTCAAGTCGTACGTACTCGTGCAGGCCTGAGCTGGCATATTGCAGAGTTGCCTTGGCCACGAATTTCTCGTCGTAAAGTTTGACTCAGGGCCTAGAGTGCCTGGGACCTCCATCCTTGTTTCCCTTCGTGTCGCCGGACTCGCGACCATAAGTTTGAAGTGTGCTCGCGACATCCAAATTCTGATCCAGTAACGATGATCGTTGAAACCCGATACCGCATAGACTTTGTTGAATTCTCTGGGGAAAGCCCACCAGATTTCCTTTCTCCCATCTGAGAAGTTTCCCCTGGCTATATGGCCAAGGTTGGTGAGTAGTCGCGCGAGCGCAAAGAGAAGATCCCGACGAAAAAAGCTTCTACGCCTCGGCCTTCTTCATGCTTTGCGACACCGTTGACATATCTCCCAAAAACCACGCGGTAAATCTCTCAATGACCTCTCTTCTTCGCCTTGTCAGACCGCACAATAAACTCCTCAAAGCTCACCGCGCCAGCACTCTTCCGGCCAACATCATCATCGACACGCACAGCCCGGCTCCAACTCTTGACAAGAGCCCGCCAGTAACACACCTCCGCCGCAGGGCTCAAATACCCCCGATCAGAGAATAACGCCCGCTGCCGTCTCGCAATCCCGCGCGCCACATCCGGGTGCTTCTCCAACCAGCGGACCGTCGCCTCGAGATCCGACCAGTCCGGCTTGACAAAAATCATGTTGGCTTCCTCTGGGCGGAGCGTCGTCGTCCACTGCTCCAGTGTCTTCGGTAAAGCTTGATGATGATGTTTTTCGTCTCGGGGCTTGGCTTGGGAAGTAGTCTTAGACTCTAGCTTGCCTTGAAGTAGGGTACTCGAATACACTGGCTCAACTAGATGCGTCGTATGCTGCATCCACTCCACCGGCGGACTCAACACCACGCTCTCGCAAAGCTGATGAAACTGCAGCCGGCCAGAGTACGACACGCCCCCGGTGTGGATGATGTACTTGTACCTGCAAAAATCCTCAATCGGCAGTGCGTTCGTCGCGTTTTCCCCGTTATTCGTCCACTCGAGCGCCTGCACGTCGGCCCATCCCGCGTCCTTTGTAAGTTGGATGAGGTCCTGTCTGGATCGCGGGTTCGCACTCGCGCCGTTATTGAACCACGACGTGCCGCGCCACACGGCGCGGGCGTCCTTCTTCTCGAACGGCAGACTGGTTTCTATCTCGGTGATGGCGGACGCTGCGTGCGGGAGGGAGCGGATGAAGGGCTGGGTCCAAGCCCAGAAGGAGAAGTGGGGGATGGGAAAGATGTGTCGAGGGAACGAGGAGGAGGAGGACGAGGTCCGCGCCAGACGGCTGTGGGACCAGGTGTGTTTGATGGGTGTATCTTGGATGTAGAGGTTGAAGTAGGTGTCTGGTAGAGGGGTTGGCGAGGTGAGGATGGCGCGGTGTAGCTGGTGGAGGGCGGCGCTTTGTCGCTGGGCCTTTGTGTTAGTTTCTGCGGATTCAAGAAATCTTTGGATATACTTCTGCCTGGAGGTGGCAAGTGTATAAGCAGTGATGTGAAACCCACCTCGATCCATTGATCTGACATATCCACAGGTCTCGGCGCCTGCAGTATCAGTATCTTGTTATCCTTGATCTGCCCCAGCAGCGAGACGGAAGTGTCGCCGAGTCCGAGCTGGAATTCTCCCTCCGCCTCGGCCAGTTCTATCTCCTTCGTCAGGCCGGGGAACGTCGCCTGACATTTTCCCTCGTTCAGATGGAGACTTTCAAAGTCAGATGCCGCTCCAGTTGAAAGGCCTGCCTTCTTTTTCCAGTCAAAGGACACTGCTGTAGACGAATGTTCTGTTAGGGGATTCCAGAGCCTATCGCGTGGATAGAAGAGAACGTAAGTGACGAGGACCAGAGTGGCTGCCACGATGACTGGCCCTAATCGCCGCGCGGCCTTTCTCTGGCGCATGGTTCTTTTTTTATGCTTCTCTCCTCAACCGACGGACTGGAACATCATCTTCAAGTGTCGTTGAGATGTAATCGAGAGAGGATGTAGGTTGAAACTGAAGTAACGTGGTCCGAAGTCTGTATTTCAGACGATTTAACCGGTCACTTGAAAGACGAGGAGTCCCCTGCTCTTAACATGCGACACTGCTGGGGAGCGGGGTTTCTCGCGAAAAAGAGTTTTGCAGCAAATAGAAGAGCCTCGAGCATTAGGGATAGCAGTTCACTGTCACTTTATCGGAGACTTGAGCGCCATCCTATAAAGTAGAACCAAACAGCTCCCATGCCAGGAATCATTGGCTGTACCGGGCGGGGCCGGATATTCGGCATATAAGCGATTCGAAGAGCATACCTCGAAGTTCCCTGTGATTGTGCCGCGGCCGTAGAAAGGATCAGCAAAGATTTCCGTACGAGGGAATCAGGAACCTTCGGAGCCGACGTTGAACCATGGCCTGATTCATCCCCGCCAAGCCGTCAACGAATTTGTGGTGGAAGGTTGGGCGGTAGGTCCCTTTCTCCCTCAGGGTGTGCCTTGGAGAGAAAAGTGTGCTGTGTTCGGGCGGAGGATCTCGATGCCAATTGGCCTGGATGTCACTTTTCCCCAAACACATGCTCGTCCTAGTCCACCAATCATCTTACACATTGATATTGACCCGTTGCAACGTCCCCCGGATTTCTGTTAGAATGCCGCTTTCCCGGCGGCACCAGAAAGCAATTGAAATAGCCATCGTATGTAAAAAGGGTCTTGGATCCAAACGCTCGTTGTGTCAGCGTCATTCTCTTAACCACCGTACTGATGGTAGGCTCGATCAAGCGTGTCGCAAAATATGAATGTATTATTAGCGGAAGCTACGGCGTATTCTCCACTTCTGCCGGAGCAGTCTACGGCGTCTTCCCGCTCGATCCAGCGGACGACATGCCTGGCCCCGACCCAGTGTCGACTCTAAAGATGGTTCAGAATGATGCTCCAGAGGAAGCGCCAGAAGCCCCGCGGGCTCTATGCAATTGTACAACACTTCTCCACGACTTCCGCATTCCTTCAAAGTCTGGCGGATGCCGAAGTGGACCTGTACCTTCAGCACCATTGCAACAATGATGGCTCCGGGTGAGGGTCCATTATTACTTTGGTGACACAGTATTTGTGTTGCTCAGCATCATTTGGACATTAGCGATAATCGTCTGAAGACTTGAACCTTGAACTAACCCACAGACCATAGCGAAGTCCCGCGCCGACTTCTGCATGACCGGAACCTCAGTTTCAAGCTTAAGTTGACGTCGATTTCAACTCCACTCAACTCATATAATCTTCCTTCAACAGATTGTAACAGAAGATTGGGTTTCACACAGGTAGATTTGATGAAAGCGTCATGTCATAATCAAACAAATGAATTACAATCGTCGTTGCTTTTTTCGCAACAATACGTACAAATATCTTGCGCCTGCATAGAAAAGGATTCATGGTCCTTTGTGGCTTTTGTAAAGCGGCACAGACAACACCAAGACTCAACTCCCAATAAAACCGTTTCCATGCCGTGTTATTCACTGTTACAGAAGCCGGGGACGCCCGTACCCTGGGTGTCATTGATAAACTAACGAAATAGCGGCCAAGCCGTACATCAAATCTAGTGCTTCATGCGAATTAAGAGCAAATGCCCTTTGGATATCGTTTGTACATCCAGCAATAGCTGGGGGCCCATCTTCATGGCTTCAGTTTCTTACAACAGGAAGGCACCGAACATGGTGAACATGGCGGCCAGACCGGCAACAGCCAAAGGAGCCTTCTCAATGGGGCTGCCGAAGGTCAAGCCGGGAGCAGCGTTGGAAGAGCCAGTGGCGGAAGCGCTGCCGGAAGCAGTGGCAGAAGCGACACCTCCGGTGGTCTCGCCGTCGGACGCAGAGTCACCAGCAGTCTGGGAGCCATCGCCATCCAGACCAGGGCCAGTACCAGCACCAGCGGTCATGTACTGTTCATTTGTTAGCGGTCTACTCGTTTCAGGGAAGAAAGGGATGTGAATTACCTTCTCAGCAGCGGAGGGGATGGTAGGGATCTTAGTGGGGTCGACCATCCAGACGGAGTCCGACGTAGGGCAGGCGACAGAGTGGGAGGTAGCGGCGGCACCACCGTCACCAGTGGGGGCGGGGTACTTGGAGAGAGCGCTCTTGAAGTTGGCGTACTCGTCAAGCTCGGAGACGGTGCTGCCGCTGATCTCGACGATACCGTACTTGTTGGCCTCCTGGGAGTACTCGTACATGAGACCACCAGAGTAGACGCCGGTCATCTCAGAGTTCATGAGAGCTTCCATCTCGTCGAAGGTACGGGTGTTGGTGTTGCAACCGTACTCAGACAGGCTGTATCATTGGTCAGCTTGGACGAAGTAGAGAGTAAATGTTTATGTCGCTTACAAAATAGGAATACCGTAGTCGGTGAAGTTCTTAACCTTGACATCCCATCCAGACTGCTTGAAGCTGGAGCTGCACCAGGAGTAGTCGTTGAAGGCAAAGAAGTCGGAGCGGGCATCATCGCTACCGCAGTTGAAGTACTCAGCGGACTGCATACGGTTGTCGGCGACATCGGCGGCAGAGTAGCCGACGGGGACGTGGCGAAGGCCGCGGGAGGCCATATAGTTCTTGATGTCACGGGTGACAGCCTTGACGTAGGGGGCGGTCAAGGTGGTGTTGGCCTCATCGTGGATGACCTCGTTTCCGGAGAAGAAGGCGAGGGTGTTGTCGTACTGGGCGAACTCCTCGACGGTGGCGAAGACGCTCTGGAGGTAGACGGCGTTGTACGAGGGGTGGGGATCGGCACGGTTGATGGAGTACTTGGGGTTGTTGACATCGGCAACGAGGTAGATGCCAGCGTCGGCAAGCTTCTGCATGCACTCCTTGTGGTCCTTGGAGTTGTCGACGGAGTAGACACGGATGGTGTTCACACCGAGATCCTTGAACTTGGGAATGTCACGGCCGCAGATGGTGGTATCGGCCAGGGGGTCGACGTTCTCGGAAGAGCCACCGGGCTGGTAGTCGATACCACGGACGTAGAAGCGGGTGCCATCGGCGTAGAAAGCTGTTCGAGTTCATGTCAGTCAATTGGGTCAGAACGAGGCGAAATTGGTGATACATACCGTTGCCGGAGGCGGAGACTGCAGGCAAGGAACGGGCCTTGATGGGGGCCTCGCGCTCAGTAGCAGTAGGCTTGGCCGAGACGACGGACAGGGCCGCGAGGGCGGAGATGGCAGCGACAGACTTCATTGTGAATGTGTATGCGAAGGGACCAAAGTGAATTCCCAAAAACCAAAGGTGATGATCGGAAAGTGCCAAGCGATAGAATGTTCCGAAAGAGTGAGGAACAGTTGTGTGTGAGCTACGAAAGGGGTGAGGTTTCGGAGTCCAAAAGGGGTGTTGATTAAAAGGGTTGGTCGGTTTAGTGAAAGGTAGATGAGGAAAAAAAGTCAACCAAAGCGAGGGAGTTGACTGTGTAGATTTATTGAAGGGGAAAGGGAGGCGCACTCGAACCCGGGGAGACGGCAACGAGAGGTCGGATGAGGATTTTGGGAGAGAATGACGAGAAGGAAGGAAAGAGAGAGGTCGGGCGGGAAGGAGGGAGGTGGATGATTAAAAAACGGCGTGATTGACGGTGGTGGTACGCAGTAGTGCTGGGGATCCGTACATTACCTGGCAGACTTTTAGTGTATTCGTACACTAGGTAGGTACTTACCTCAAGGTATTGTTCGTACGAGTAACCAGGAAGGAGAAGCAGGGCAAGCCGCAAAGTGGAATTCGTTCTTTGCAACCCACACCCCCCAGACTCTGGGAGGTGAAGGTCTCCACCGCGCGCCCTCTTTCCCAGTCTCCGAGTCTCCTCCCAGACTTTGCGGCCCTGGTCCAGATTTCCCTTGCCTTGCCAGCTTGCCAAGGAAAGGACCGACAGGAGTCGTGGACGGTGGACCGCGCCCGGGGAGGAAAGGAAGGGAAGAGGGGGGGGGGGGAATAGGAGCAGCAGCCGTTCATTCGCCTAGTGGATTCTAGTGTCTCCTTGTGTCTGTCTGACAACCGCACCATTGTCCTTGACTGGCTGGATGGCAGCAGCTCTCTCTTGCTTGGACGTTTCTCCTGGGAAGACATTTGCGAGTCCAATTCAGGGGACGGGGAGGGAAGGCGTGGGTCACAATTCTCCATTGATATGAACCTAAGAGGAAAGAGGGGTGTGGCTGCAGACAGCGGGAAGGTGGGATGGAGCTAAATCGGGTTCCCGGCAAGCAAGAGCAAAAACTCAATTGGCTGTTGGGCAAGCACTCAGCTGGCGACTATTCTTACAACCACACCCCTTGTTGCTCAATTTGATCAGGTTGTGTATTGTAAACACGGGCAGAAAGATTATTGGTGATGTAATTCTGTCAGGTCGTCCAGCGTCCGTCTCTGGGCGCGTTGCACCGGCGCGTCTGGGCACAGACTTTTTTGTCCACGTCGTCGACAACCATCGCCTTGCGGCTTGCCGTGGCCCGTTTGCCTTTCTCACGCTCTACTCCGTGTAGGTACAATCTACGGACTACACTGAGGCAGCACCTTTTGCTTTATCCCCCATCCGTCGCACCTTGGAAACAATCCCATTATTCTATCCCCCATTGCTTCAAGTCGCCCGGTCGAACCCGCTGAAACGCAACAAAAACGATGATCGACTTTGGATCCAGCCGTTTTCGAGGCACCGAGACGCTACGAACCAGTAGCACCGCCCATCAGCATGCCTTGCAATGCCGCTGAGCCGCTTGGCCGTCACGCCGCCTCACAGTGCCAGTCTCACTCAGCAATTCGCACCTAATGTGTTTTTTTTTCCTTTCCGGTTTGGCTCGTATCCAGATTCTCTTGTTGAGTATCTGTGCCTTTCAATCGCCACAGCCATGAACACGCCTCTGGACGAAAAGAGAACACGAATTTCCCCACACACCATCGAAGCACCATTGCATCTCAGTGCCGCCGGCTTGCCACTACTAGAGATGTCAACTCCGAGAAGCAGGGCATCATCTATCCATCTGACGGCAGTCACGATAACCAAAAAAAACCCACCGACCAAGATTCAACTTTCAAGGTGGTACGGATACTTGGCCACGGTACTCGTGCAATCCCATGTGCTCAAGGCCACAAGCATGTCCGTCTCACGGTCTCACCCACCCTCCACCCCTTTTTTTGCATGCCGACAGAGACATTACGACCCAGCCGCCAGTGAGAAAGTGGAGATCAATCCCCATTCTTTGCCCCAGTCAAAAACGACATTCCATGCACTGCCACAGCGATCAATGGAGGCAAGGAGGGCCCCTGCCAGTCCCTGTCTTCCGATTCCGCGTCCTCTCGTCACCACCACCACAACAATCCACTGGCACCACACCTGCACACCAGCTGCAGTCTGTAACTAGTTTTCGACCTTCTATCCAGTTTCCTCCACATCGGCCACCGAGGAAATCCTCAAACACTTCGTTCAATTGGCCAAGACCGGCCGCCCACGCGCGAGAAATGATCCCAAGAACGCTTCAAGAGAAAGGCCATGCAGCTAAGAAACGGCCATAACAAGACTCACTTCGCTTCGCCGGCGACCTAAAGAATGCCGCGCCGCGAAGTCCACGTCAACACTGCCACCGCCCACCGAGACCCAACCTCCACCCCGGCCCGGTCTGGTCTCATTCTCAGGTCTACCGCAACTCTGCTGCCGTTTGATGCCGAGTAGATTGAACACTTTGAAGACCAGGCGCAGAACGGCACACACCAACCTGCTCCAATCTAGTCTCTGCGGTCTATTTGTACGGATAAGGATACAATTATCAGCATCCCCCGTTCGGATTACGACCTACGACCACTCCACGAGTCCATGCACTGATGCAGACGAGAAATTATCCGAGCGATGATCATATTTCGAGTCCAACGTCGTTGGTTCCACTACGTCAGTCCCGCCCATTTCAATGTGCCCTGTTTCAGACCAACGTCGACGTGCCACCGGTTAGATTGAAATCTTTGCCTGGGTCTTTGCCCGTTCGTTGTTACTAGAAAAAGAACACATATCGCGGCCAATCAATCCAGGACTGGATACAAATGAACAGAGCCTCCCTCTGTTTCTCCCTCTTCGGTCCGTCTGCCCACTTCCCCCGGGCATGACGCTGGCCACTTGTCAAAGCTGAAATGGCGGCCAGTCGTCTCGATTTCAAATGAAACGGCCTATGATCAGCTGCCACCATTTCGTCGCCTCGTCCTTCTTCCCTACTTCGAACTTTGGCAGTGAACCCTGACCGACTTTGCCCTACAGCTTGCAGGCATACAGCATCCAAGCTGCCAAAAGTTCGCAGTCGCAGGAAAACAAATGCAGCCCTTGGGCACAAGAAATTGCATCCTCGATTCATCCCAAATTACCCCCCTTCACCCCTCCATCTTCTGCACACAACAACCCATTCTGTGTGACACCCTTCAGCGGGTTTATCAGGGGTTATCCGCCCTCGACTGTCATCTGATTGGTGCTTGGCCAGTGCTTGGCCCGTTCTTGGGGACATGGACTCATGGGGATCCTTTTCACCTTTGGCCTTGGCCCTGGCCTCGAACTGTTTGCTTTGCTTTTGCTTCTTGGGAGACTTCCAAATCCATGCCAAGTTGCCAGACTTGGCTCTGCAGTCTACGGATACACTTCCAAGCGGCACAGAAGAAGTGAAAAAAATCTCAAGAGATTACGCTCTACAGAAGCGACCCTTGGCGGATTCTTGTGTAAAAAACACTGCAGTCTCTTTTCTTCCTCACAAGCCTCGACTCCTACACATAACCAGGCACTCTCACTCTTCCTTTCTTCCTCGACGGGCCTCGTCATCCTCCAGGTGCCACCCCGCAAAAGGCCCGTGGGCTCTTGCAGCGAACTGGAATGGCATGGCCCTGGCTGGCGGGTGCCCGCGTCACTGGCAGCGGGAGGCCCGGTTGGGATCTCCCCGATCCTTTTCCCCCTCCCCTCTGCTCGCTCCCCTTTTGCCTTTTGACCGCAAACGGAATGGGCCACGATCTCAATTCCTAGTAGGGGAGACGATGCCACCGAGTCCTTGCAGGGGGGAGAGGTCGCCAGTAACGCCCGAATTTCTGGATTTTCATGACACCGAGTGACATTGATGGGCGATTCGACGTTTTTATTGATTACCTTCTCTACCGTCAAACCTCGCACACGTACACAGTAAAACACCACGTGAATGAATGTACTCATAATGATGGGGGCGATAAACAAGAATGCTTTGCTATTTTCAACTACTTCAAAGACCACCACAACCGCGCCCCCCTATGCTCCAACTCGACTCCCGCCACCTTATATGTAAATAACGACCTGCATCGAATGCATGCACCTTAGCCTATGCTACTTCTTTCTCTTGATCTCCGCCACGCAGCAACATCGTCGAGCTTCGACTTCCGCCGCTCTCTCTGGCTCTGGTTCTGCTTCACCAGCCGCACGCTGGTCACACGTTCCGCGTAGAACGTTGCCGCAGGATCAACTGCTCGAGGCGGCTCTGAGTGACCAGCTCTCGCTGTCTCAAATCCCTTTTGCTGCGTAACGTGCTTCTGCGGCACCTGTGAAATGTCTCGCAGTACAACGTCCTCCGCCGCCGCCGCGTGCGGCTCCAACTTCCTGTAACTTCTTCGTCTCCGAGCACACGACTCCTAGACTGCCTGGACGTAGCTTGCAGGCACGCTCTTCGTCGCGCCGCCCTTTTCGACCTCAGCCCAACCGTCGCCCGGATCGTCCTTGATAAGGACAAATCTCTCGCCCTCCGTCATGCTGTGCTCTGCGTCGCTTTGCGCCGTGTACTCGTACAACGCCTCCACGTACTTGAGCTTTTTGGCCCCGCGCTTCGGGGCGACTGCCGGTCCCTTCTTCTTCGGCCCCGCTGTTCCAATCGAAGAGCCAGAGTTAGAGTAGGTCGACTCGGGCCGTGCAGACGCTCCGGTGTTCTGCGCGACCATGGGCGATGGTGGTGCCCAGTCGACGTAGCTAGCAGGCACAATGCCTTCTTTGTATCCTGCGCGCACCTTGACCCAGCCGGTGCCATCTAAGAGTGTTTGTGAGCAAATTGAAGAAAGTCTGGCGAGGATGACAACATACCATCAGGTTCTAGCATTGTAACTTCTCGGCCTTCAACTACAGATACTTCACCGTCGCCACTAGCTTCAAAGGTGTAGAGCATCTTGCCCTTCTGCTGGTCTGAAGAGCCCGACCCGTTCGGCGCGCTTCCAGGTAATTCGCTGATATAGGCCGCTGGCGGCGGTGCCATGACCCTCTTACGGGCCGTAGTAGAGCTAACAGTCGACGCAGGAGCTGCTGGGCGGGGTGTTGATGGCTCAGGGGGAACCTCATCTATCGGCGATGTCGGGCCCCCAGTTATCGACCGACGTGCGCTATGCGCGTATCCTGAACTCAAGGAATTCATCGTGTTCGATCTCGTTAGGGTCGGCGAATCTGTTGCGACGGTAGGGGAGGACGCTGTCGGCTTCAACAGTGAGTTGGCAGCCTCTTGGCGTTCGGCCTTGAGCTTCTTTCGTTCGTCCTTCGTCTGTTCGCCTGGGCAGTCGGCTGGGACCTTCATCTCGCACTTGTTGTGGCACGTGTAGCCGCAGTCTCTGCAGTCAAAGCCTTTGGCTGATAATCCCCATATTCTTTCACCGCAAAGGTCGCAATTTGTTGGAATCTTGAAGGTTTGCGCCTTGAAGTTGTGGTTCTTCGCTCCAAGCGTGACGTCTCCTACAGCTGAGGTGATGGTGGACGTCTCGACTTCAGCGGTGACTCTCCGCCTGTCGACGGCATGGAGATCTTCCTGTAAAGCGAAGATTTGTGTAACCACAAGAACCTCATCCTTCTTCTCGGTGCCCTCTCGTATCCTTTGCTTTACACGCTTGATACCCTCAACCTCCCGTCTTTTCTTGTCAACTTCTCTTCGTAGGTCTCCAAGATGAGCTTTCGATTTACTGAGTACGTTACGGAGGTAGATCTTGGCTGATTCGTCTACAATCATCAAGTCGTCGTCATGCCACACAGGACTAGGCTCAAAGACCTTGTCTGGTGGCTCGTGGAACGCGCCGAGGTTGTGGCGGATGTACATCATAGAGTCGAGGTGAGGCTGGTTTCTAGAGATCTCGGTTGCTAGCTTTTGCATCAATCCGTTACTGCTCTCCAGCATAGCCGCTTCCAACTGGGATGCGACCGTCCACAGACCATTCAGCTTCATGGTACGGAACTCGGCCAAGTCTTGCAGGCTGTCCATAACCTCGGGAACGTAGTCATGGTAATATCGCTCTTTTTGCTTGTTAGTGACATTGATTGCGATCAAGTACGTGTTCTTGACGTTATTCATGTCTAGAATCTGCTGTTGATAGGCGCTCTGCGCTTTGGCCTTGTCAAAGGACGATTCAGACTTTTTGCGCTTGCTTTCGACTTCCTGACAAGCAGCATCGTATTTGGCCTTTGTCTTGCGCAGGTCCGCGTATTGAGAATCCCTTTCGTGTTCGAGCTTGCCGGCATAGTCGGCATGACGCTTGCGCAGCTCTTCGAAACGGGTACCGAGGAACTTGAGAGGTTCAGCCACTTGAGAAAGGAGGTTGTTGCCATATCGATCGTGTTCGTCGGCTCGAGATTCGAGTGTAGTAAGCTGCGTAGACCAGGTAGTCAAGGAAGCGCTTTCGAGAGAACCTGGTGTCATGGCGGGGGTGTCACCGACACTGAGAGGCGCCGACTTCTTGTTCTTCTTTTCGAAGTACTTCTTGGCCAAGGCATTGAGCTTCGCAGCATATTCCTTTTCGATGGCACTCCTTTCGCGGTAGAATTGCTGTATTTCGTCGAGCCAGGATATGCCGTGAGCAACCCAAGTGTTGGCAGGCTTGAAGCCATCCTAAAGGACATGTCAGCGTCTGGAGGGGCCAAGCCAAGCCGCGGGGGAAACTGCGCGCGGAATACGGACCTTGAGCTCAGCGCCGAAGGTCGGCGCAACATCTACGTCCGCCATTGTCCACACATATGCTGTTGAAACAGCATGCAAAGGTTAGGGATCCAGTAGGGCAAGTTGAGACTGAGTGCGACGGCCAGAGATGTTGTTGGGAGGAGGCGGAAGAGGGATTCGTGATGGAATCCTCCGAAGAAGCGAGAACGAGAAGAGGACAAACCGCCAACGGTGGGCTACGGCCCGAGCAGGAGGTCGGCGGTGGGGGAGCAGTCGTATAAGGCTAACCCCGCCAAAACGGTTAAAACTGGGAGAAAACTGGGCAGAAAGAGTAGATGAATGCTAGCAGGAGGCGCAGGCCGCCCGAATGATATGTACAGCGAATACCTGAGATAAAGGTGTAGGTATGCCTCACCTTGGTGACACGGTCGGGTAGAGGTTCGGCGAGACGATGATCTCCATCAGTGACAAAGGGACAGAAGAGGTCAGACTGTGTTGCGCTGTGCTTCTCACACAACCAAACCTTGGAAGAATTTCAATGTATCACTGTCGAGTGTTTTGGCTGTAGAAGTACATTGGGGTCGGATGCTTGGGGGCATTGACAGCGGACGGAGACGTCGTCAGCTCTTCCCCTTGGCCAACTGGAACCTTCCTTTGCTGCACTGGTGTGTTTCTCCGGCTGCTCGGTCCACTAAGGTACCTGGAGGCTTGGGGCAAGTGCTTTAGGTGTTATTGCGCGCTGAAGAGGCCTGTGGTGGGGTAGCGGACCGATCGCCTGCTGCGAAATCCACTCATTGGTGCCATTGGTGCCTGAGTACAGGGGTTTCGGATTCGGGTTCCCCAAGCTGCACGGAAGTTTGCTGGGGTTTGCTATGCTCGATGGATGCGCCGGAGATTGAATAATTCCATGCCGTTTGCTGGTATCCATTCATCTCAAGGCTCAGCACCACACTACGGATCGCATGAATGACGTCGGGCTCCCATGAGAAGAATGGCCCGTGAACAGGGAAACCCCATTGACCTGAAGCTCTTGGGCTCAATTACCTCTGTGTCTGGTTGCAGCAGATTGAATGACATGTCACGTGGTGTGGGACATACGGATACTACCTAAGGTACCTTATCTACCTTGAGATACCGAGGTGAGGAAGGAATAGGCGCAATGATTTCCGGGTTCCTTCCATTTGCCTTACCTCAGCCACTTACCTCAACCTCAGCTGGGCAGGCGCACTGAGCCACCCGTGCCACCCTTGGCGGTTAAATGTCGGTGGGAAGGTGAGCTTTCCGTTCCTGACTCAGGCCTTGGTTGTTAGGCGACAAAAATGCCCCGCGTAGCCCCGCCATCGGTTTGGATTGCTCAGTCACAGGCAGGAGTGACAGACGACGTAGCTTCCTAGAATTAATTTTGGTTTGAGAGCTCCAAATCCGTCGTCGCAAAACAAACAAAATTTCCCGACTGACCTGCCCGGTTCACACAACCACACAGAGAAGCACCAGCCCAATTGCATGTAAGTCAATGCCTTGTCCTGCTTTCGGCCCTCCCTCCAATCGAGTTTTTCTCCAGACTCGCATTGTTGCCATTCGCTAATCTGCTGTCGAAGCCGCACAGGTGACGGCTGACCATACCGCTACTTCCCCTCGACTGCTACCACCCACCCTCGACCAACCGCCACGTAAGACTTTCGATCATTGCACCTGACTATAGGCTCGATTTCTCACGGTCCTCCTCCAGAATCCACACTCGACCGCGCGCATCCTCAGTCACGATGGCCGACCTTGCTAGTCGCATTACAGAGCCGCCCGCTGAGGGCGCGGCTCCGGAAGCTCTTCAGGAAGCCCAGGATGCCCAGGAAGCCGAAGTCCCTCAGGTCGACGGCGCCGCAGACTCTGGTCTTATCGAGAATACCTACGATGTCGATGTCAAGCTGGGCGACCTCCAGTCCGACCAGAACAGCACTCTCTACTCGGTCTCAACCTTTGCAGACATGAACCTGTGAGTCCACAGTCGATTCGAATGCTTGCAGATTTCTAATACGCGATGGTGCAGTCGCGACGAGATTCTTCGTGGCCTTCTTTCCCTCAACTACCAAAAGCCCTCCAAGATTCAGGAGAAGGCCCTTCCCTTGATGCTGACCGATCCCCCTCGGAACATGATTGCCCAGTCGCAATCTGGAACTGGCAAGACCGCTGCCTTTGTCGTTACTACCCTGTCGCGAGTCGACTTCTCACAGCTCGAGCAGCCTCAGGCTCTGATGCTGGCTCCCAGTCGAGAGCTTGCTCGTCAGATTGAGGGCGTTGTGCGCAACATCGGCAAGTTCTGTGAGGGTCTCAACGTTGCTGCAGCTCTTCCTGGTGCTTTGGAGCGCAACGCCCCTGTCAGAGCCAATGTCATTGTTGGAACACCCGGTACCGTCATGGACATCATCCGTAGACGTCAGCTGGATGTCTCCAAGCTTCGGCTCCTCGTTATTGACGAGGCCGACAACATGTTGGACCAGCAAGGTCTGGGTGAGCAGTGCCTCCGTGTTAAGAAGTGAGTTGGCCTATGAATCTGTCTATTGAGAACTTGGCTAATGATAACAGCATGCTGCCCCGCGACATCCAGATCCTTCTGTTCTCCGCAACCTTCCCTGACAAGGTCATGGGCTTCGCCGAGAAGTTCGCGCCCAAGGCTGATCAAATCCGCCTGAAGCACACCGAGCTCACTGTCAAGGGTATCTCTCAGATGTACATCGATTGCCCTACCGAGCAGGACAAGTACGAGGTGCTGGTGAAGCTGTACGGTCTCATGACCATTGGCTCCTCCGTCATCTTTGTCAAGGTGAGACCGGCGTAATTTCAGCAGCTTAAGCCCAGACTGACCACGCAATGCAGACCCGTGAAAGTGCAGACGAGATCAAGCGCAGAATGGAGGCAGACGGCCATCGTGTATCTGCCCTCCACGGTGCCAAGGACGGCCCAGAGCGCGATCGTCTCTTGGAGGAGTTCAGAACCGGCCAGTCCAAGGTTCTGCTCACCACTAACGTGTTGGCCCGCGGCATCGACGTGTCCAGTGTCTCCATGGTCATCAACTACGACATCCCCATGAAGGGACGTGGAGATTCGGAGCCTGACCCTGAGACCTACCTGCACCGCATTGGCCGCACAGGACGTTTCGGCCGTATCGGTGTGAGCATCAGCTTCGTCTACGATAAGAAGAGCTTCTATGCCCTCAAGAACATCGCAGATATGTACGAGATTGATCTCGTCCAGCTCGATGCCAATGACTGGGACCAGACCGAGGAGGACGTGCAGAAGGTCATCAAGTCCAACCGCGCCAAGGCTGCATTTGCACCCAGCGCGACCGATGCCAGCGTCAAGTCTTAGTACTAATTGACCGCTCAATGGGTCGTTAAGGGAAAGATGGTGCCTGATATGAGAGGAAGGCTCCAGCGGGTAAATCTGGCACTTTGGGCCAAGGAGGGGCTTGTTCATAAATGGTTGCCATTCTGGGACAGGATGTGAATGCGGAAGGCTTCAGATGAGGCCATAAGCCTCTCGGCAGAGGCTACGAAAAAATGAGATACCATGAATGGAGACAATGAAAATTACTGAACACTAATAACGATCTTCAGGCTGGTCATCTTGGTCGGCTGACTTAATCCCTCGACACCGCGTACTTGATGTCTTCGCTAGAAATCAGCTAAGAAACACCAAATCAGGATGCGGTTCTTCTCTGGGGGGGAAATCCACTGCAAGCTTGCAGTGGTCTGATATCGGCGGTTATAAAGGGACCATACACTAGACATTCGGGATGGTCGGTAGGATGCGAGGTTGCGTTGGGGGTGGCTAGCTTGCAGCAGTTCGCATCACTGCTCGGCCGCCGCGACGCTGCTTTCTACTCAGAAATGCAAGAGCTAGGTTAGACAAGTGCAACGGCCCCGAGAAGTCTTGGGGTCTATATGTGACTTGAAAGTCGGTATGTCGCATCAATGCCTCATGGCGGATGTTGACGTTGGAGAAGCGTGTCAAGCTTAGTCGTGATACCCAGTCAAGAGCAGCAGGACTCGCTCACGTCGCATGAACAACTCTTGTTGTTCAAGGACTGCAGAGTCAATCACATCCATCAATCTCAAAGTTGTGATTTTCGAAACGAAGGAGGCAGTCACACCATGGGAAGGGTAACGAGAAACAACTGGCCAGCGACAACGTCTGACATCTGGCTACTGAGTCTGGTCAAGTCTGGTCATTCACTGGCCTGTAATGCCATTGATCTGCGTCACGTGATACAGTCGGCCGTTTTGGCGCCCGTTTTCGGGGCGGTTCGCTTCAACATCTTTGGGTTTCTTGTTCGGTCTCCGCGCTTAGGAGGAGACTGGGCGCTTAAGTTCGGGGGCGATGTGGGAGCACCTCAGCCACTCAATGTACATGCATCTGTTCAACAAGTGCATCTTCATTGGATACTCGACCTCCTCCGTCTGGTATGATGGTATGCAGCAGGGGTTACATTCTGGCCTGGACCGCCACACAACTCTGGATCTTAGATGCAACTTGCAAACCTCCCCCCAGAACGAAAATAGAGCGACTCGCCCGCCCAACCAACCAGCTGGGGTGTCAACCGCCCGAAACGGAATCGGATAGGCCCCGAATTGTCTGGCCTTCGTCATTTCAACGAGATCTCCAGCAGCGGCTCGCGAGCAGACCGGGCCGCTGTGGACATGACTGCAGGAACCGCATCCAACCCTGCAGGTTGGCGGCATAGTGAGGCAGGGCATTGGACTGTCTACCCGTCGTCCACTTTCGTCGCAACGAGATTATGGCGTTTCCGGATGAAGTCACAGGAAAAGCGAAGCGAAGCGCGGTCGAAGTCGAGAGCCTCCGAGTGAGCGGCAGCATGTTCCCTTGGGGTATGACGGAAGAGGCACCAGTGTTCCCTTCATCCTTCCCACGTCAACCTTCTTTTTCCTTCTTTCTCGGGACCGCCTCCATTCATGTATGAACAGTTACATGCCCGCTGCTGAGCCCCCAAAGCCGTCTGTTCTCAATTTTAGCTTTTTCTCAGCTTCTTCTTTTACACACATTGCATTTTGGTCGCATGGAATAGCCTCTTTCTTTTCTTGTCTCTTCTTCTCGGCTGAATCTTTCCGCAGCTGATACTCGTGGAATAATCGGGTGATACTCTATCCACAGTACTTTCTTGACTCTCTCAATACTATACGATCTTGAGATGCGGGTCGTCTCTTAATAACCTAATAAGAACACACTCTCGATAGGTTCGTTCCCCAATAGGTCGATCATCCCAATCAGGCTTATACACGGTAGACTCTTGAGGCTGTTGACTTCCAGACCTTTTTCGTCTGCCTGCCTCTGTCATTCACTGACGCCTCTCCAGACTTAGTCGGCTGTCAACAGACCGTATGAAGGATGGGACCTTCATCCAAGTAAGTTACCTCTTGCCTTTCCTTACATATAGTGATGCTGACTTGGGTCCCTAGATGTCCTCCCGTACAATGGCCCTCAAGCCTCTTCTTTGGACACTCTCACTCATATTACCGGCCTCCCTCACTACGGCGACATCGTTCAACCTGTCGAGCGAGATTACGAGATTTGTACCGACGTGTGCCCGCGAATGCTTTCGTTCTCATTTGACTGCCAACTACGACCTCACCACCTGCGGCAGTGCTCCCACTCTGCAATGTCTGTGTGCCAATGTTGGCTTCTCAGGCCTCACTCTAGGGGAGGGTGCTGTGCAGTGTATCGTCGCAGAGAAGGGCATTGGTTTCTGTCACGAAAGTGATGCACCGCGTACGTATATTGTGTTCTTGATGATCGATCATGGTATGGAATCTAATAAGCAATAGAGACCGTGATCGACGCAGCATACCTGATGTGCTCGAACCAACCGGGAGCTGTTCAGCCCACACACACAGCCATCATTGCGACGTTAATCATTCCTTCCTCTGGGGGTATCATCCTCGTTCCCCCAAGGACAACCACAAGGTCTACCCTACCAACGTCGACGAGCCATCTCACGACTTCGATTCCGACGACTCTCATCTCGGCAACAGGCACACCGTCCATCCCAAATACGTCTACAACGTTGACTACCTCGACTGTATCTCAAGCTTCTACTACGGATAGCATTGTTACGCCGCCACCTTTGCCACCATCATCCACAGCGACAACTTCCGCATCCGCAACGGCAATCCCAGGAGCTGAGGGTGCTGACGCTGGCGCATCCAAGAGCTTGGGCACCGCCCAAGTGGCAGGTCTCGCAGTCGGTATTGCAGCTGCTCTCGGGATCGCCGTTCTCGCCATATGTTTCGCCCGCCGCAAGCGCAGAAAGGACTATCCGGATGAAAAGACGGGCTTCTTTCCCGTGCGAGAGAAGGACTCTTGGGAGTTCCACCCACAAGAGGGCCCCGCCAACATCTTCCACATTTCTCCGCCTGTCCACCATGCGCAATCCCCTTCTCCGTCACCGCTACGCCAGCCCCCGGCGGCACGTACCCGGACCAGCGGTCGCATGAGCTGGTGGCCCGGCGCGATCGGCCTTGCCGTCTCCCGGCCTGAGAGCACATCAGCTGTCTACCGTCCGTCACCTCTGGCGCAGAACCGCCCAACGTCACGTCTCCTCCCAGCCAAGCCTTCTCTTTCGTCACCAAAGCCGGTACTCTCCCTCAAGATCCCCGAGATAGACCTCACACCGTCGTCACTCCCTCGGGCGGACCAAAGCGGATCTGCGCCGACAAACTCCCAAATTTTCAAGACGGCCAAGCTCACAGCGCCTCCAAAGAGTCACTACAATGCCCGCGAGAGCACAATGACGGAATTTGAAGAGGACGGCGCCATCACCTCGGCCCGTTCGGCTCGCTCAAACAACATCTGGAGACCGCCCTCGGCAACAGTGGGCAGCAACAACAACGTTCCCAAGTCTGCCACATACTACGTAGCCGACAAGAACGGCAACTGGGTCCTAGGGGACCCCAAGAGCGCTACGCACATGGCACAGATCGCCGAGCTCGATGCCTCGGGCGCAAGCCAGGGAGGTGGCGCCAAAGCGAAGCCCTCCTACGCCGAGTCTGCCATGCTCGCTGCCACGGCCACCACCGCGGGCATGGGCCACGGAGCCGGAAGCCCCGTTGCCCCCTCCGGTCCCCGGATGATGCCACCACCCCCGGTTCTTCTTCCGCCAGCCGAGATTGCTAGAAATGGTGCCCTTGCGGCTCCGCCCGCAGCTCATCAATCCCGAACCTCGAGCGTCTACTCGCCCGCCACCACGAGACCCAATACGGTGATCCAGAACAGCGCTGTCCCCCCGTCTGCAGGAGCTCCTCATCCGGTGCCGAGCATGTCATTCTCTCATCCTGAGCCCCCACGCCGCCGGAGCAACTCCCTCGGCCGCCGCAGCTCGTCGAAGTCGAAATCCACCGGTTCCGGCACTGCTCCTTTCCCTCCTCCTGCTGCATCGGTCTCAACGGGCGCCGGACACCCACCACATCGATCCGACAGCCACGACTCCCACGCATCAGCCACGACGATCGCGTCTTCCGTCGCGAGCGAAGCCGAGCCCGTGGTTGAGCAGAGCGGTCTCTCTCCTGTCGTGGAGTCACCTGCCTCAAGGGGATCTCCAAATGTCGGACACTCACCTGTCTCTTACCCCGTCATCCCCGGCCGCACCAGCTCCAAGCCCGGCTACAATAACCTCCGCCTTCTGGCTCCTCCCGCCCGACCTTTTGCTGCATTCCCCGCCGGACAGCCCAGCCCCACGCTCGGGATGATGCAGCAGCAGCAGCAGCAGCAGCAGCAACAGGCCCGAAACGGACCATACATGGCCAGCCACGACGTACCCCGTAAACCCGTCGGCCCTCGGCCCCGCCCAGCCGGTCCCGTCACCGATCCGAGCAGAATCGCCACCGGATCGCCTTCGCTCCGCCTCGTGACCCCTTCTCCTCCCCGCTCCTCCTCCGACAACAACAGGAACGATGTTCAAGGCCTCCAGCAGGAACCCCACTGGGAGCCCGCGCAAACTCAGAGACCACCGCAGATGAAACCTCTCTACCCGCCGCCTCTGAACCCCAGACGGCCCAGGCTCGAGCGCAACGACGACATCCACCCGCAACCGCAAGCCGCGCAAGTCCAGCAGGCGCCTCTGAACCAGGAGCCTCAGTCATCTTCGGTTCACATGGCACTTTGGGGGAACCTCCCTCCTCGTACCCAGCAACAGCAGCAGCAGAAGCCAGCTCCCTACTCTGGTCTTCCATCACAGCAACAGCAGCCTCAATCCCAGCAGAGACAACAGCAGCAGCCCCAGGAACAGCTAAACCAACAATCCTTCCAACAACGCCAACGCCGTCTCTCACAGCAACAGTCAAACCGCCAATCCATCCAGCAACCCCTCCCCCCCAAATCCCCGCCCCCAAAACAGCCCCTCCCGGAAAGACCATCCTCCGCCTCCCCATCACCACACCACATCGCAACGCAAGCCATCCGACCAACCTCGACAATCCTACAACCACCACCACCACCACCGCCAACAATCCGCCCCCCTTCCGCCTCAACGACCGCCTCCCCTACCGTCGCAACCCCCTCAACAACATCCTCCCTCCTCTCCAAGCGCCTCGGCTCCGAACGCGCCGCTGCCCTAGCCCTCCCCAACGCCGGCCTCCGCCACAGTCCCAACTGGAGACCCGTTCGCCCAGGAGGTAACGGAGACGGAACGGATATGCTCCTTTCCCCCGACGCCGCTCTCTTCCCTACGCCTCCCGGATTCCCATCCCGGACTGGTGGTGGTGGCGGCGCCGGGCGCGGTGGCCACTTACCCGCTACGCCGACTTGGCAGCCGAGGCTGACGCCTACTCGACGGGGCGATGACTTGTTTTTGAATGTGCAGTGATCCAAGATTGACAAAGTTTGCATTCCGTGTGACGTTGGGACAGAACTACAGGAAAGGACTATAACCATCATTTTTTTCATTTTTCATACATGACGAAGACAAAGAACCATCTATACCCATACTCTCTACGATACCTATCGTCATTTCTCTTTTGCGTATTTGTACCAGTAGCACGCTTTTATTTTTCACTACTCTCTTTAGATCTGATAATATTGATAAGATGGACGGAGGGTGAATGTAGATGAAGACACTCGGCAGATGGGCTTGCATTACTGGAGTTGGTTTCCGAAAAAGGGATTTTCATTCTAGCTCTTCTACCAATATTGTGTATACTAAGGTATATTGACTATGAAGTTTTTTGTCTTTCTTCAGTCAAGAGTGTTTGCTTGTCATTATAGGTGCTCTCATGCAATACCGTCCTGGAGACGGTCTCTTCTGCTCGTAGGAACTCAACATTTATCTTGTATCGAAGCTCTGCAACTGGCTCTCTCACTCTTCCTTGACCGTTTGACCTCTGAGGCATTCTCGTTCATTGTATACGTCCTCAGGCATTCGGGCCTATGACCACCTGACATGACGTTCTCCAAGGAGGTCATTTTGATAGAGGAGTGTCCACTTCCATCGCTTGTTGCGCTTCGATGGTTCCGCCGCGAACGTGAGGTCCGGTTATGTTGACTTCGCTGGCTCCGTTGACTACGTTGGCTCCTTTGACTCCTCTGACTGCCTCTTCTCACGAGGTCTTTGACATCGTCAACGATATCGCTCATGACATCGCTGATTTGATCATCAAGTGCATCAACCCCAGCATCGAAAGCTGCTCGGTTGAGGTGCTGGTTGGCGTCTATGAGTTTGTTTCTCTTCCTGATCTCTGTGAAACGTGACAGACTACCAAGCTCAAGGACGTTGACTCGCCGTGTTTTGCTGGTGGGGTTACCAACAATGAAAGGACGCCATGGCTCTTCTTCAGCGATGACATCTTTGTCGCCCATCATCCCGGTTGGCATTGAGTCGCGGCGTTTGATAGATTCTCTGCGCGCAGTTGTCCACCTATCCATCGCCTCGGTCTTGCTCTCAGGAATGATCGTGACTTCCTTGAACCGAATCAGAGTCAAGGTCAGTACCAGTGTCAAAATGAACAGGATACCAGCTACAACTCCGGTTGCTGCTCTCTGGCCGAGGTTACGCTGGGCCATACCACCTAGTGCAGTTGCTCCGGCAGCGAATAAGAATCCCAAGGTATGACAAACGGCGAACCCTGCAGTCACACGAGGGTAGGCAGAGTAGTTTTTCCTTTTCTGTGCATTGTCTGAATTTCCCCGGGGCCGACCAGTCATTCCAGATTGTAGATCCGAAGTGTCGAAGGTTTCCATGATGAGTCCGTTGCATTCTGAGATTGCTAGGCATGAAAGAAAACCGATTGCAGCGGCGACAATGGCAGGCGCAATTGGGTGCATCGGTGGGCCAGTCGAAACCAATGTGTAGACGAGTCCAGCCAGTGGGAGGCCAATGGCGAATATGGATCGGCGAAGAAGGTGAGATGTCCACGTTACCTGCTTATCGAATGTCATGCGACTGGTATTTACCTGGGTATGTCTCGCTCTGGAAAAGTAACTTGCCTTCTGGAATGGGATAGCAGCGAGTGCACCAAATGCTATTGCAGAGACCATGAGCCCGACAAAGGGTGACCGCATTCGGTAAAATCTTGAAGTTAGGGAGCCCAGCAAGACGATGATGAGAACCACCTGGGCGTAAATCCAACCAGAGTAAATGGCCATGACAGCGAAACCAGGTTGTCGAAGCATCTCAAAGCAAAGTGCGACACCATGATACAACTCCTGACCCCACCACTTGGGTCCAGTTTTGACGCGATGCATCATGATCTCGCCGCGAGCAACGCGTCGGGAGACATCCGTACCAGTTCTGACTTCCACAACCGATCGTCGGAAAGCCGAACGGCGGACCTCTGGACATAGAGTGTTCAGCAGAAGGGCTATTGCGGTCAGAGCGATGCTGATATGGAAACCGAAGTCCGGTGGAAGTTGATCGATCACCGCAGCGCCAATGAGGAAGCCAAAGCCGAGGGACGCAATGTAGCAGCATGTCCAGATACCGAGCCAGACACCCATACCTCCTCCGTGCCTCCTCACATCAGAATCATCCACAACCTCTTGATGAGGATTGCTGCTCATGAGAGACGCGCCGAAAAGGTCTGTAAGTATCGAGTGGAAATTCATGCTTGCGAAACCAAGGCAGATGCCCATGAAGCCTCGCGGTACCAACAACACCATTCTCTATCCAGTGAGGTTGTAGAATCTTTGAGCGCTGACAGCCAAAGCCTGGGGGAAAAGAAGTGGCATGGACAGAATTAGCCCAGTCGTGATGTATGGCTTACGCCCATGAACAAGAGGAAGTGGCCAGCAAAAGAAAGTGGGGATTGCCATCCCGAGAAAGCAGCCCACATTGCCGTTGATGATCGAGTGGCTTGTGTCTAGGATGTAGTACTGCAGTGAGGGTACTAGGCCGGCGTAGATGCCAATAATCATACCGATCAGAGCCGTACTGATGCAAGCCACAGCCGCGATGGCTCTCTTCCGGACTGGTGACCAGTCCCGAGCAATGGGCTGGCGTCGTTTCGACTTGGCTAGACTGAAGGCTTGTACACCAATCAGACTGACATGAGACTTGCCACGTAGGCTGATCCCTCGTGGAGTACGGGTGGGACGGCCGCCCAAGTCCTCCTGAGAAAGATTGTTCTCGCCTGTGTTGCGGGATAGGAAGGGTACCCGTTTCGTGCTTGCTCGAGGTCGAGTTGGCTCGCTGCTTCCTTGAGCTTGATTTCGAGTCGGAAAGCTGAATGCAGAGGAGTCATTGGATCCGTCCATGCTAGACTCTGAATCTGTCGGGAGTTGCTCGACAATCTGCTTCGGCTTTGTGCGCTTCGATTTCTTTACGCGCTTGCTCCTTTTCCTGCTCGAAACTCTGTCTGGCACAGGTCCAGCTTGCCGCGATCGCGACTTGTGTCTGCGTTTAGTTTTCTTGACAACTGAACTCTTCCTACGACCAAGCATACTCTCAAGCTCTGCGCTCTGCGGAGAGAGAGAAATAGTTCGGTAGAGATCGTCAACCGCACGGTTTTCAGGCCGCCCGGCATGCGGGAACGTAGCAGCGCGCTTGTGTTGTGGGTCTTTTGCACTCTCATCATCATTCAAGTCGATGTCAGAAAACTGTGAGGGGTCACCATAGGGGGCCGCTTCCTTTGAGACAGGGTGTGGAAATTGTCCGGCCTCTGGAGACTTTGCCTCTTCGTCGTCAGCAACCCGAGAAGCGAGTGCCAAAGCTTCTTGAAGAAGACGTTCTAGCTCCCCGAAAGTATTCTGGAAGAAACCTTGCTCAACTTCGGTAGTTGGAAGCGTCGGTTGACGAGTCATCTTCCGAGACACTGGACTCTGTTCCTGGGAGCCCTTCAAAGAGGCATAGGACGCTCTTTTCGTCTTAGATGGTCTTTCCGTCAACTTGGCCGTATGGGTTTCGGGGTTCTTCAGTAGATGTTTGAGCCACTGTGCAGTACGCTTGTAGTCAATCGTGCTTGCTCGGGAGCGAGTCGTGTTCTCTGAACGTGGCTTGGTGATTCTGGTGGGCCCCTCACTTGCCGACTCATCTGATCCGACGGCAAAATAGGCATCCTTGTCTTTTTGGCTGCCGTTGTCAGACTCGCCACTGAAGGGCCGAACTTTTGACACTCTTTGATGTCCAGCGTGATGATTCAGCTCGGGGGGTTCCTGGGCAAAGGGTCGGACTTTGGATACCGGTAAGTTGATCGGGTTGTCCTTGCTCTCTTCAATTTCTGTCGTTCCATTGATATTCCCTTCGGGCAATAAATGTTCCTTGGCTGGGTCAAACGGCCGGACCTTGGAGAATCCGGGAGGAGATTGCTGTTGGCGACCTATGTTGGGATACTGGAAGGTTGGTAGATTGAAAGCCGGGCGAACCTTCATAGCATGGCTGTGCCCATCGTGCTTTGGGACGGTGACTTCGACTGTAGAGAGACAAAGATCATCTCCAGTCATAGCTCGGCGAACCTTGGCAAGGACAATCTCAGCCTCCGAAGAGGCAGATGACGACGATGAAGAAGAGCTAGATGTCGTGTTCTCTGATATCTGTGGCACAGGTTGTCCAGGCACACCAGCGTCGCAAAAGTCGGCACCTTTGAGGATACCACGGTGGTGGACCTTGGTATGAGACTCATTTGGATGGATTAGAGGATCAATGCAGACGGTTTCCCGGGGAAAGTAAGGGTCGACGTTGGTCGTGGTCTCCATGAGATGTTGACTGACAACTGGTGCAGGATTGTCTTGCATCTGGGAAGGCGAGTACTTTCTTGATGGAATAGCAATCTTTGCCTTGTTCTCATAACTGTTGATGTCTTCTCGCGGGTTCTGTAATTGACTGTCGCTGACTTGTCGACTGAGCACCGGGGGCACGGGAAGATCTTTGTCAACCAGCATGGGGCGTCCGGAAGCGGTCTTGAGGAGTGCATGTCGAAATTTACCACTTTTCGCCGAAGAAAAACTTGACGCGACGTCCTTTTCGGGTTTCTTCAGGGACATGTCCATCATAAAAGGTCGAGCGCTAGGACGAGGTGTGTCCTCAAAGTCTCCTCCGGTTGCGTTGGATGGCTCTCGATTTCGATGTACGATATCTTTTGTCGGATGGAAGAAGTTGGATAACATCACCGGCTTCTCCTCCTTTGGGTTGGGGTTCAGCGCAAGCTCGGCCTGTGAGGGGCAGCAGAAACCGAGTCGAAAAGTGGTCGGCGGCGTATCTGAAGATTGAGATCTGACGCTGCGAGGTCTGCTGCCAAGCTTTTCTGCGGAACTGTAGCGTCGCAAAGCCGTTTGCTTGTAAGTTGAAGTCTTGGGGTCCGTCAGCCGTTGGACTTCGGTCGGTGGCGTCAGAGACCGAGTCCTTGTGGCCTTAGACATGAAGTTCAAAAAGTGGGA